CACTGACTCACGTTGTTGCCTGGGCCCCTGCAGCTTAGGAATAATGGCTAGTCTGTTGGGGATTTTCTTCCTTCCTGAAGGTTGCCGTTTAATTACGTGGCATGAATGACTTCATTTTGGTTTTCTGGGGCCTGGTGCAGAAACTCAGTCTAGAACAGTGGCCTCCCCTAAATTCCACTAGACCCCGATAAATCTGACACCAACCAAGGCATTTACGAAACCGAATGCACAGGCTGGTTTTGCAACACTGAGAGAAGTAGATGGGGCACCCAATCCGCAGGCCTCCTTGAGACTAGGAAGAGCAACTAGATATTTGAGGATCGCTTCATGTCGCAGAGACTTGGACGCCTTGATTGGGGGTTACTAGTATGTTAATCTAGGCTAGACTATGCTAGTTAGGAGCCATGCTTGAAGTCTTGGCAAACCTGCTGTCCCTAGCTGACCATGGAGGGAATCCTCTAAGGGCCCTTCCGACTGCAGCAAAGGTGTCCTGCCCATATCTCGGTGGTATTTATACACGCCAGCAGATTTCCAAGAGCAAGCAGCCCTCAGAAAGGAAAAGGGCTGATGTATCATCTTCCACGAGCACACAAGATCTCAAGCATCCCAGGTGGTCCTCAAATCTGAAGATGACCTTGAACTTCTGATCCTCCTGCCTCTGCCTTCCCAGTGCTGGCAATAAGGGCATACATCACTGCTCCTGGCTTTCATTCATACACTTAAATATTTTATTTTTATTTTATGCATGCGTTTGCATGGATATGGTGCTCACAGAGGCCAGAAGACACCAGATCCCCTGGAACTGGAGTTACAGACTGTTGTGAGCCACCACATGGTGGCTGGAATCTCACACTCACAGGCTTTCTACAGCGTTTCTAGTGTCAGCCTTGGCACACCCACGGCAGAATTTCTATAGCATCTCTAGTGTCAACCCTGACACACTCACAGAATGCTTCCTACAGCGTTTCTAGTGTCAGCCTTGGCACACCCACGGAATGTTTTCTACTTTAATAACAGCAATTCCGCGGTTTTTTAAAATACCTTTTTAAATGGATTTATTTATTCATTCATTCATTTATTTATTTAACGAGTGCTCTCTCCGCATGTATGACTTTATGCCAGAAGAGGGCATCAGATCTCACTATAGATAGTTATGAGTCACCATTGCTGGGAATTGAACTCAGGTCCTCTGGAAGAACAGTCAGTGCTCTTAACTACTGAGCCATCCCTCCAGCTCACAATTCAAGCCAAGCCGCATATGGGGGCATGACTAAAGAGAAGGGACCAGAGTAGAAAGCATTGAGGTCAGGGATCTAGACAGCAGATGGTGCTGCAGACAAGCCAGAATAGGAGAAAGGGCTGGGGAAGGCACAGATGTTCTAGCTTTCTTCAGTTTCCAGAATGACTACAGGAACCACTTTCCTCTTCTCCAGAACCCATTGCATCTTTCTAGGGCCAGGTAGCTTGATAATGCTGGGGCAACTCTCCTCCCTTAAATGACCAATGCACTCCTATGCATATTACCCCTCCTGTGTCTCCAATTATCTCTCGGAGCATTTAAACATCGTCCTGAATTAGTACAAAAACTGTAGCCAGGCATGGTGGTACTCAGTTTTTAATCCCAGCCCTTGGGAGGCCGAGGTTGGCAGATCTCTGAGTCCAGCCTATGTAGTGAGTTCCAGGACCGGGAGGGCTATGTAGTGAGACCCTGTCTCAAAGGAAGCAAACAGAATGCCTATCAGCACAGGAATATAAAAATTAGAAATATTGTCTAATTACTACTTCCAGGTCATTCCACTGTTGCTATTTGTCTCCTGCAGATCTATTACCCCAACTTAATCTTAGTGCCAGCACACAGTAACTCCAGACATCACACTCACGATCATCCAACAGTCCAGAGTTACTTTATCAATCTTTCCCCTTTCATTTTTTTTAAAATTTTCACTTTCTGGAAGCTGAATCTGAGCCTTATGCATGCTGGGTGGGGTACTTTATAAGTAATTTATAGGTTGGCTTTTTAAGACTATAAAGTTTTTTTTTAAATAAGTGGCCAAAAAGCCACTTTAACAATCTTCATGCCCTTTGATTATTAAAGACAATATAAAAGACAAAAGACTAGGCCTAAGTAGGCTACCAAAGCCTGTTGTTAAAGGCATAAAACCACCAACTGAACAAGATACTTTCCCCTTGACTATATAAATGGCATTGGCTGCATTGCCCATGCTGGTCAGGCCATCAGTCTCACATGTAAGCACCACGACAGTTTTCTGACAAGCTGGAATCACCCCTCTCCTTTGCCTATCCTAATACTGTTCAGAGTGGTGCATGGGCTATGCACAGTGGGGCAGTGGAGATTTCTGATACATCTATCAATTGGCTTCTTTGTTGCTGTTACAAAATACCTGAGAGAGAGAGAGAGACAGAGAGAGAGAGACAGAGAGAGAGAGAGAGAGAGAGAGAGAGAGAGAGAGACAGAGAGACAGAGACAGAGAGAGAGAGGAGACAGAGAGACAGAGAGAGAGAGAGAGACAGAGAGAGAGAGAGAGAGAGAGAGAGAGAGAGAGAGAGAGAGAGAGAGAGAGAGAGAGAGAGAGAAGACAGAGAGACACAGAGAGACACAGAGAGAGAGATTGATTGAGGCTGCATTCTTCATGGCAGTAAGAATCAGGAGGCGGGTCACTTGTGTCTGCAGTCTGTGAAAGCAGAGAGACGGCTGGCGCTTAGTTGGCTTTCTCTTTTTGTGTGGCCTAAATTCCAGCAGCCCATGGATCAGTGTTGCCCACATCCAGGGTGAGTCCTCCTATCTCAGTTGAACCTCTCTAGAAATGGCCTCAGATGAGCCCTGAAATTTGGCTCCTAGGTGAATCAAGTTGACAGTCAAGATTACACAGGACAGAAAGAAGCGTAAAGTCATGTGAGATCACACAGCACTGCAGAGCCTATTCCTACAGCAGGGTGCGTGTGCGCATGTGTGTGTGCACAAGCGCGCATACTCCAGACGCTTAGCTCCAATTCATCCTGCCCCAAGCATGGTGTTGTAAATGTGAGCTGCAGTGGGTGCATGACCACAGCCCTGGAGAGCCACTACAGCCAGAGCTCAGAAATGGGCTTTAGTTGGGTTATTTCTATAGTCTGTCCCATGAAAGGACAGTGAAGCACTGGGCTCGTTCTTAACAGGAACTTGTTTCTTACTGGACAGAAGGAAATGCTCCATTTTATTCCTTCATTAAGTGCCCCCGCCATACCCTTGGCTAAAAACAAGAAGCAAAATTGAGGGTGGTGATATTTTGTTTGTGAGCTAACAAATAAAGCTTGCCTGAAGATCAGAGCGCAGGGCTAGTCACACTAGTTAGCCACAGAGTCTAAGCAGTGGTGGCACACACCTTTAATTCCAGCGCTCGGGAGACAGAGGCAGATGGGTCTCTGTGAGTTAGGGGTCACCCTGGTGGGAGAAGACAGGAGCTCAGAGCATTCAGCCTGAGGATTAAGGGAAAGAGGATCTCGCTCTTTTCAGTCTGAGGATCTCATAGAGGTAAGAGCTCTCTAGTGGTTGGCTGCTTTGCTTCTCTGATCGTTCAGCTTGCACTCCAGTATCTGTCTCCGAGTTTTATTATTTGTACAACAATTGAGTGAGAAACCTCAGATTGCCTAAGACCAAGAGATGGGGAAATAAGGAAGCTGTGACTCTCCAGGGTCTTAACCAGTTAAGAATATAATACAGGGGGTGGAGAGATGGCTCAGAGGTTAAGAGCATTGACTGCTCTCTCAGAGCACCCGGATTCAATTCCCAGCACCCACAAGGCAGCTCACAACTGTCTGTAATTCCTGTTCCAGAGATTCAAAACTCTCACACAGACATAGATGCAGGCAAAACAAAAAATACAAATAAATTTTTAAAAAGGAATATAATACAAATATCTAAGCAAGAAGTCGGGGAAGGGGCTGGGAGAGAAATGCTGGAGAGATGGCTCAGTGGTTAAGGACACTTGCTGCTTTTGCAGAGGACCTAGCTTAGTTTCACATCTGTGACTCCAGATCAATGACGTCTTTTGACCTCTTCAGGTAACAGGCAGACAAGTGGTACACACACAACATACGTACAGGCAAACACTCATGCACGTGATATAAAAATAAATCAATCATCACAAAATTAAGTCTGAGAGTAATGTGGCAGCAACAAGAGCCTATTGGATTTGTGGGGCGTCTCAAGGCTGGGTTTTGGTTACAGGAGAGGAGGCCAGCCAGACTGGGTAGTGTTTCAGGGTGTGGACAAGCAAAGGCATGGGGAGCCAGAGAGACAGAACTTCTCAGAACAAAACAAGCAACATATTCCAACCTGAATGATATAAGCCCCTATCCTTGCCGGGTGGTGGTGGCTTACGCCTTTAATCCCAGTACTCGGGAGGTAGAAACAAGCAGATCTCTGTGAGTTCGAGGCCAGTCTGGTCTACGAGAGCTAGTTACAGGACAGGCACCAAAGCTGCAGAGAAACCCTGTCTCGGGTGGGGGGGGGGAGCAACAACACAGATCCCCACAAAGCAAAGGTGCAACAGAAGCTCATCTCGAGGACACGAGAGAGACCTGTCTTTTACTCACCCCGGAGGGCTTCTAACCCTATTTACTTTTTCTTCATAGCACCAGAAATTACCCTTATTTATTTTGTGTGGGGAGCACAGACAAGCAGGTGCCTATGGGGGTCAGTTTTTTTTTTTTTTTTGGGTCCCAGGGATTAACCCAGGGTCATAAGGATTACCTACTGGCCAGCTCACCACCCATCTTCCAGCATATGATCATCATCGGGAATTTCAAGTATTTGTTTGGATACTGGTATCCATCACCTGCCAACCACACTGGGTGTACGCATACACAGGGGCGGTCCACAAGAACAGCTTTGAGCTTCCCAGAGCTGTGTGTTGAAGCACCTGCCAGAACCCAGGGCAGGCTTATCATGCCCTGAATGAACGAGAAGGACAAAGCGGGAGTCAGAGCACGCACATCAATCACAGTGCTGCTTCTAAGCTGTGTTTAATCTCTGCAGTCAGCTACAGGGCTGTGAGACATGAGTATAAACTTTCATTAACACCAGAAAATAAACTGCGCGTTTATACTGACTCAGCCTAACAGCTCATCCCCTTAACATTTTTGAGTTTAATTAAAGCTAGCTTATCTTCAGTGTAAAAACTTGGAGGTATAAACAAACGCCAGGTATTATATACAGTAAGTTATCAATATACACTTCCAAACTTGCACAGTGCATTTTAAACAAATGGTCTTATTTTATCTTTTAATGTTAAACACAATCCACATCTCAGTCTTGGATAAAAATTAACAATATATAAACCCATGGAAAGTTCTATACACAAATACAAGTTATAGAAATCTGGTTTCAAATATAAATACATAAACTGTCATGACCACATAGGTTACAACAGCTTGCTTACTTTTACTATTGGGGTTTTTAAAAAAATAGAAAAATATTTCAATGCACATTCAACTGCTATAAGAAGGGTCATGACCTTGTGCCTTAAACCACATCTTGTGAGGCATGAAACATCACATGAGGCATTTTGGAAAGGAAATCACTAAGATGGTAGAGGCTACCATAGAAATATTCACGTTATAATATGGTAACAAAAATAGTTCTCTCTGCTGCGTATTTAGGAAGTAGTGGCAGAGAGGGAGTGGCGGTTACCGATAGTTTAGTAAGCTCGAAGATGCGAGCTGAGGGAGCTAAGGACTTGCATGTTTTAGAATTCCCTATCACAGGCTGAGCACGGACCTGGCCTGAGAGACTCTTAAGGCAACCAAGACTGAGTGCATTTGGCCCTAGAAACATAAATCCTGACCTCCCCTCATCATGCCGACTCCACACACCAACCTGGCCTGTGCAGTGGTGTGGAGGGGAGAAGAGGAAAAATGATCACTATGTACAGAAGATGATTCAGTGCAAATCAGAAGGAACTCTTTGTGAAGTTTCAAAACACCTTATTGCCTGTGAGCAACAGAAAGATTTCCTCAACAGGATCGCTCCCGAACAGCAAATGTGGAAAGGCAAACTCTTGAGACATTCTCGGATGAGGTCTCTTGCCCCTCCCACTCTCCACGCTCCGTGCCTTCTGTGGGATTGGACCTAGCTCCATGAGAGCGACAGGACTGATCCTTACAAAGTAGACTTTCAAACCCTAAAAAAATAGAAATCTTTAAAACAGCAGATCCAAGGTGGCCAGGCAGAGCTGAGTTTCTTCTATGGCTTTTTAAGTCACTGAGGCATCCCGTGATAATCGCGTCTGACACTCAAGATTGCTTTCCTGTGAAAGCCACATTCAAAAGTGACCTGCCTACCCCAGCATCTAGGACAGCAATGGGGAAGGCGAGGGGAGCAGCTGAGGGGCTGCAGGGAGGCACAGTCCAGGTGCCATGAGCCTCCATACATAAGTAGAGGGCAAAATGCAAGCTCAAAACGGAGGGCTTCCAAGGAACGGGCACTCCCCTGGGAAGACAAAGGGATCCCCCCAGTTAATCAACAGGTCAGCAGCAAGACACTGGGATGATTTGCACCATGGTGGCCAGTGCAGATGACATGGAGCAGGAAGAAGGAAGTGGGAATGTCAGCAAAGGAAAGAGGGTAGGTGGCTGCCACCACCCCGCCTTGTTACAGTCCGGGAAGGAGGGACTGAATGTTAGAATGACACCAGTGGAAGTTTCCAGCTTTTCTACTGTGTGTGTGCATGTGTGTGTGCACGCGTGTGCCGAGGGGTGCGCTGGAATATGCTGTGGTATAAGTCAAAGCACGTATCTTAATACCTCTGTCTCTCCATTTACAGACACCACATAAAGCTGACCTTGCTCTTGTTCCCAATGGCTACGTAATTATCTTGGCACAGAAAAGACAGAAGGAGGAAGCTCTCACTGCAATCTGGCCGTGAGGCGTTTTGTGTACATATTATACAGGCGTCAGGAAGCAACCCCAATCCTATGACAGGTCAAGGAGGAACTCCTTCCTATGAATACTAGAGGCACGGCTTTAATTGCATCATCTTTCAGACCTGGGAAAGAAAAGAAGCAGTTCTCTTCCCGAAAGCCTCCGCTTTCTTCTGCACAGCACTGGGCTAACACGACACCAGTCCAGGGAACAACTGTCCCACCCTCTGGCATGCCTCTTTCACAGTCCCTGAGGAGACAGGTCACACATCCCCTAGGTCCACAAACTCGTCTTCTCGTTTGGCCAGGTCATCTTCACCCCCCAGAGCTTTCCACCCACTGGTGGGTAAGACAGGCTTGGATGAGTGTCGCTGGAGCAGTGCAAACGGGAACAAGGAGGACAAGCGGGCAGAGTTCCTGAGCAGGCACGGTGCCTGTGTATGCACAGCCTCCTGTCTGTGGGGCTTCGCGTCGATTTTCTCCTGCAAGCTCTGCACTTCCTCCATCATTTCCAAGAGTTTGCTCATAGTAGCCATTCTGCCACCACCCAGGATCTGGGCTTCTGGAATCCAACGTAAGTAGCGCTGGGCCCACACCTTGATTTCTGGCCCCTCGATGTGAGGCAGTAACAACCCATGGTAGTCTGTGGGCTTACTATGCCAGTTGTCATAAAACTCTCGAGAGTTGTCCTGGAACTCATCGGAAGAGTTAATAAGCTTACTAATTCTCTTGCCTAGAAGGTTTTTGATTAAATGATCTGTTTCTTCCCTGAAAAATCCTCTTTTGGGAGATGACTTAGACTGGGTAAGTGGCAAAGAAAGTTGTCGTTGATGCTTTGAAAGAAAACACAAAAGAGAATATCTGGTTAAGAGGCAAGGTGACAACTGTTTTTGTAATAGTAATAATAATAAAAACAATAATAACAACAATAAAGAGCAGCAGCATCCTGCTGTGAGCAGTGTCAAGGGACATCAGAGCTGCCATCTCATGTGTGTCCATTAAAATGGTATAGCACACAGAGAGGGACTTCCTGTTCTTGGTGACACTGAGTGATCTATATGCATGATGTGCCATCAACAAATGAAAGAAACCAGGAAACCAGTATGCATAGAAAGGCATGCTGGGATAAACTAGTCCTTTTAGCAAGAGGGGTACCAATGGGCACAGAGTGCTTTAGAGAAACACAGTTAATGATTTCCATTAAATGTCTTGGGGGCTTTTTGAGACAGAGTCTCTCGCTACATAGCACTGGACAGCCTGGAACCCACTGCGTAAACCAGGCTGGCCTGAAACACTGGGGTCCTCCTGCTTCTCCCTCCCAAGCACTGGCATTACAGGTGTGTGCCACCACTCTTAGCATATCATTTAAAGGGGAAGAAATGCTTCTTTTTGGAGAACTTAAGAACTCTTTACTGCAGTAATTCTGAACATCTTCAGGTATTAGTATTGACCACCTGGAGATCTTATCCCACAGACAAAACAACCTTTCAGCTTATCAGGCACTCAGTGAGAACTCCAGCTGAAGTCACATGTCTCTCTCAGACAACAGGCATTGGGAGCAGAGGCAATGGCCAAGAGGAATGGGTTAACTTGGCCAGATATTCTTGACAGGCTGCACACAACAAGAAACATGAGAGCTTTACATTTTGTTACGGCTTGCTAGCTTTCTCAGTAGCAAAGCAAGGCATTATATTTTGGGGTACACCATGAGAGGGTTATGAAGATAAGTCAGAGGTTGTGGGTTTCATCGATGCCCAAAGGAAAAGGTACAAATAAATGTGAGGAGACACTGTTTTCTGCCAACTGCTCTGCTCCTAAGGTATAGGAGCAGAGAGCCATAAGCTTGTAATCCAGTGCTCGGAAGGGTGAGACAGGAGACTGCCAGGAGTTTAGGGCTAGCTTGAATTACATAATTTCATGTCAGCCTGAGCCAACAATGTGAGATCTTAACACAAACCAAGGGAAACTAGAGTAAAAGTATTATCTTGAGGCTGGCACTCCAATTTTCAAACATGCTTTTTACTAGTGTGTATCCTTGTAAAAAAATTTACAAAGAAAGTATTTCCGGATTATGGAAATAAGTAGTAATTTATAATAAGTAAAATATACAGACACGCAAGGTTACCCTGAACAGCACAACGCAGAGACAGCAGACACCAGACACCAGTGGGCGCTCTTCTCCGTACTCACCAGGCTGCGCTGGACAGGAGTGTGGGACAAACCCACAGGGAACCTATGTCACCCATGGTGCTTGGTGTTGGAAGCCTCTGCCCACACCCCCTCCCATGTGTCCTCTCAGCATGGTGCCCCAGCTGGCACCTGGTGTTCACAGGAAGGCCTTCAAATTCCTTATAGCTCACCTCCAATCCTGTTTCATTTACACAACCTGCAATCCGCCCACCCCTGGGTCACATCAACTGCCACTGGCTCTAGTAGGAGACAGGGAGGACATCAGACAAGGGGTGCTTAGCTGCCTCAGTGGCTCCTTACCCCATAGGCACCCGGTAGTTTTGTGACTCTAGTGCAGGCTGCCACCAGGGGACATGGCACACCAAAGAAAAGCTCATCTCTGGCTGACTTGTGCTGACCTGCAGCCATCTTGCTCCAGCTGCAGAAAAGGGATGCATCTACTCTGGGCCTGAGGACAGCTAAGAGGGCAACATGGCAGGCGGGCTAAGCGCTCCGCAGCTGTCACTGTCCCCAAGTGCTGGTCTTGGTTCACCTGATCCCAGCTTCCTTAGACTAAGAACCTGTTCCGTGCCTGAACTGACAAGGCTTCCAGGGACTGCGGATCAGGCAGGATAGGAAGGACAGTGGTGAGAAAGACAACGACATGCCTGGACGTGGGTTTGCCATCACCGAGGGCTCTGTCAGACACTGCAGGCCAGGTGACAGAGCTAGGTAATGTTGTTCAAACTGTGTGTCAGTTAGTGAACTTCAGGGTAGAATAATTAGTAAAATCAGGAAGAAGTATCTAAAAGGAAAATAAAGACTTGCTGTTTGTGGCTTAGGGTACAGACTGGAAAACTCTAGTCCAGGAGCCAATGCTGGGGTGACACTTGTGTAAAACACTGGGCCCACTCTCATCATTTAGGACCACTGTTTTCTGTCACAACAGTAGAGCAGGTAGAGCTGAGAGACAGGGTAGATCTCGATACAAAGCTTGCCACTCTCAGCTTATAGGTTTATTAGGAAAAGTCTTGGGGCTGGAGAGATGGCTCAGTGTTTAAAAGCACTGACTTCCAGTGGATCCAGGTTTGATTCCCAGCACCTATATGGAGGTTCATAACTGACTATAAACCCAATTCAGGGGCTCTGTGGGCACCAGGCACACATGTAGTTCACAGACATATATCAGATAAAACACACATACTCATAAAATAAAGCAGTAAAACTTTTTTTAAAAAGAAAGAAAAAGTCTTGCTATGAAATTTATAAACTGGCATATGTGAAGGAAAGCCTTAGTAATCAATGATTCCTTACTCTCCCAGCGATGCACTGATTCCTTACTCTCCCAGCGATACAGAGACGGGGTAAGAGGCACAATTCCATGAAGCATAACTGTGGCGGCAGCAGCCTCAGTGACAGGTCTCATCAGCGCAAAGGCAGATTTGCTGAAGGCACCGCTAATGAGCCCCGATAACTTGAGCACCACAAACCCCAACTGCACACCGTATTAAGAGGGAACACACCAAGAGAGATCCATGAAGTAGTGTTTGTCCTCGCATGCATAGGATGGAGGAGCCACTGTTGGTGGGGTGTTAAAACAAGCACATCTTACTTTGAAACGTGATCCTTTCCGCTGGCCCCTGTCCAATTTTGGCTTTTCCACATAGAGAGGGTTTCTGAGCAATGTCTGTGCTTTGGGTTCAAACTGTACTGACCAATCCCACACGGTGAGCAGAGTCAAAGGCTTGCTTTGTGGATTCACACTTTTCCTACCCTGCCAAAACAAGCACAGGTCACCATGGCTCCCAGGAATGGCTGGAAAGCAAACACACATTCTCAGAAACAGGCTCCAGGAAGAGTGCTCGGCTGGGGCTGAGAATGAATGCACACAGGCTGCGTTTCTCAAGGCAGAAGCTCTTGGTGGCGGGGTGAGAAGGGCCCTTATTTCAGTGGTCTAGTGGTCTATGGCAGCTATAAGACTGGGCACTTTTGCAACAACTGCGTGAGTTAACCCCTACTTTCCCAGCTTGACCCCTGAGGAAACCGAGGCTCAGAAAACAGAAGTGAACTGTCTGAGTGTATGAAGCTGGCAAGCTACAGGGCTGAACCCAGGGCTGTGTCACTAAGACGCCAGGTTCCATTGTTTCTGCTTCCCTGTTGAACTTGGCAATTTACCAACTAAAAGTCCGTCCCAAGGCAGGAGAGGGCTAGATGAAGGCATGGAGATTAACAGAGACACTTTATACCTGGAACACAGGCTGAGCTGAGTGGGGACGAAAGGGCTTTCAGATGTAAAACCAAAACGCTGGAGTCCATTCTTTTCCCAGAATAACTCTAGGTATGAAGGTAATAAAGAGAGGGCATCTGGTCTACCTTCAAAAAGAATAACTTTTAATTTGTCTCCATTCCCAAACTCCAATCTTAAATATTTACTATATGATCTTAGGCTAGATGATTATTGCGTTTCAGCTTCCTCAGGGATAATAATATATAACTACAGTGTGCTGCAAGGACTAAATACGTCCCCAGGTAGGAATAGCTGGGAATCACTTGAAGCAATGTTTGGCGCATAACCAGTATTGAATACTGTTATGAATCAGAGCCACTGTTATGAATCGAGTTTGTAAGATGCAGTTTCTTTGGCCCAGGGGTCTCTAAAAGGGACTCTTACCATGTTAGTATCTTTTTGATGAGGCGAATTGAAGAAGAAGGTGCTGAAAATAGGTATATATAAGCTATCTGACAAAACAGTCAGAAAAGTTTCTGTGAACTCAAATGCTGGGGGGTACTGGTGCACCAGCTGCCAGACACAATCTAAGAAAAGCAGGAACACGGGGACCTATGTGGAAACAAAACACATCATTTAGGAAGGCTAGGCCCAGCACAAACTGTCCTGAGCTCACTGAACAGTCATCAGGAGCTTCTGAGCCCTGCCCCTCTGGGAAACAAACAATAGACAATCCTTTCCAAGTGATGAGCATTCTCAGGGGAGACCACCTCCCTGTGGGTTAGCAGTTCCTACTGTGTCAAAGACAAGTATCTAAAACCACAGAAGGATGTGAACTAACACGTTGAGTGCCTGCAATCAGCTTTGGTGATACGGAACACTAAACACCAATCAAATGAATTCCATTCTTCTATACAGTGTTCTGCTGCAAAAACAGGACTTAGTGATGACTGCCATTTTACATTTTGTCAATAAAATAGGAGTATTCATCTCTGCCCCGTGACAACAGGCAAGCTTGGTTCTGGAGACTACTCAGGGGCAAGTCTCTGTTGGCAGTTTCTCTGTTGTGCTACCACTTCATGGAACTTTCTTCTCGATCCACCAGTGGTCCTCTAACAGGGTAAGGCAACAATGTGATAGTGTCCACCTTCTACAAGAGTAGAGACACAGGCCTCACATGGAGCTGGTAGGACAGCAGTAAGAACTCTTGGACAAAAGGCCAGCTCTACATCAGTAACATCGTTAAGTCACACCAGCTAGCTCTCCAGAACCGCATGTTGGTTCTGAGAGGCTTCACAGCACATATTATGGGCAACATCACTAAGCAAAATGTAAAACCTCACTGTACAGTAAGCCGGGATTATGTGTGCTGAGTGAACACCTTCTACTGACTTCTTTCCTAACTAGATACGGAGTCTGTCAGTCTTTCTTTCTCAAGACATGCAAAAGTACATCTTTCCAAAGACCTCTCTGTCTATCAAAGTATGGAAATCACATTAGCCTTTCAACCTACTTCCTCCAAGTCCCTTTCAAGACTGAGAGACGGTGGTTTCTCTTAAGTCTGATAACATTCAGAAGAGCACAGGTTTGGCCTGAAAGAACTAGCAGGCATAGTGACAGAGGCCCGAGGCTCTCCAGGAACCTGTCAAGCCCCGAGGAGCAGAAGCCACAGGCTTTCTATTCACACAGCATGCTGGGCCAAGCTATGCTGCATCACAGACATGCTGATTAGAGATCCAGAATAAGAAAAGCCAAAATTCACATTATTGGCATGTGTTCATTCTATAGATGATTTAATTAAATAAAGTTGGTTCCATTTTTCTTTCACGAATTATCAGAGAGAACCAAGGAGTTTATATTGGTGTTGCCTAAAAAAGCACACCACAATCTAGAGATGAACTAAATGTTAACTAAGACTGGGGGTGTGGCTCTCTACTTGCCTAGTACCATTGAAACCCTGGGGTCCATATCCAGCATTGCATAAAACTGGTTGTGGTGTTACATGCCTATAATGTCAGTGCCTGGGAGGTGGAAGCAGAAGGATTAAACTTCAAGTTCATCCTTGGTTGCATAATGAGTTGAGACCAGCCTGGGATACACAAGCCCTTGTCTAAAATTAAATCAAATCAAAACATAAAACAGCTCCCAGATCTGAGACACTGAACCATTCATCTAAAGAGAAGCAAGCTGGGTGTGGTAGTGCATACATGTAATCCCAGCTACTTGGGATGATGAGATGGAAGGTTGAGTTCCAGGACAACCAATATAATATTTGGCAATATAACCAAACACCCTTGCCCAAACAACAAAGCAATGATACCCAAAAAGAAACAGAAGAGGCTGTGACTCAGGGCACACTTCTCTTGGCACTACAAAGGCTCTAACAATGGATGGCACCAACACAAGGAAAATTTAGTGTTAAGCGTACTTCCTGTGGCAAATTTAGACACCAAACATCACTAACTACAAAGTTTAATTTAGCCAAGATTTGAAGGATTTTTTTTTCCTGAGTTATTTTGTAAATAAGTGTTACAAAACCAGTATTTCTCTTAGTATGAAACGTATATACGGCCTTATTCTACACAATTAGAAGACTTTGAACACACTTATTGATATCCTTTCTGTCCTGGGGAGGATTTCCATATTGTTTACAGCATTCAAAGCATCTGCGATGAGCTGACCAGTTTGCTGATGTCTGTCAAGTATGCACTTGAGAAGCCTCTATGAGAGGACAGTGACCAGATGAGAGGGAACCCTTCTCCCTAGGACTGCAACAGTCTGCAGTAAGGGCACTCACCTCCTCTTTGTCATTCTGGTGGAGATGGTTACAGCGATCCAAGAAAGAGTGGCAACCCATGACCCATTCCTTTTGGATGAGGCTCTGGAACCCAGTCCTGGTTCGACAGTGGGGGTCCATCATCACTTGCACCAGAGAGGAGAGGAGGCAGCAGAGGTCAGACGCGTTCTCTTCTAGAAGGGCCCAGCAAGAGCACCAAGGAGAAAGACACGGTGTTACCAAGAGGCAGTGCTCTCACCTACACAGCTAAGAGCAGGGTTCCCCACACCAAGGTCTATCTTACTTCCTATAGACAAGGGCCAACCAGGGAGAGATAAACTGCTTCTGGCTTGTTAGGACAGGTTCCAGCACATGGTAGTGTGCTAAGCAAAGATCGGCTTACTGAACAAATGGAGCACTGAAAACTCCACTTTTAGCACACAGCATCCACAGGTACCATAAAGGAGTAGCTAGCAACATTGATGGTCCGCCTGACTGCAGATGAAGTCTATTGCATTTCCTTCCTGGGGAGAAAGCCTGAGTCACTGCTCACTGCTCCGGACTCAGAACCCTTTCTTCTACTTCCTGTCCTTCACGGGCTGCTTTGCATCAAATGACCGGTTCAGTCACAAGACTCTTTTCTGTTCTGTCTGAGGAGCACAGAGGCGCCTGCTTCTCCTTGCCAAGCCTACAGGAGGAATTCTCCTTGATAATCCTCCATGTGACCACCTGGAGTGCACTTCATAAAACCCACAAAGCCCAAGTCCTTTCACAGACTTACCTAACACTACTGATTTAGAGCAATGGCAAACAAACAGCCACAGTCACGTATTCTTAGAGTTTGAAGATGTTAAAGCCAGGTCTACATTTCCCATGGCTTCCTCTTTATCCCCCACACCATTCAAAAAGGTGCAATTCATATTGCCTTTTTTTTTTTTTTTTTTTTTTTTTTTTTTTTTTTTTTTTTTTTTTGAGACAGGGTTTCTCTGTAGCTTTGGAGCCTATCCTGGAACTAGCTCTTGTACACCAGGCTGGCCTCAAACTCAGAGATCTGCCTGCCTCTGTCACCCCAACCCAAGTGCTGGGATTAAAGGCGTGCGCCACCACTGCTTGGCTCAAAATGCTTTTTTAAAAAACGTTCTCCAGCAATGGAGGCCATACCCTGAGGGTTAGAGAACTAGAGCTATACTCATGCTGCAAGCACTTTCTCTCCCTAGAATATTACAATGCACTAGAGCTCAGGCTTGCACTCCTCCAAAACAAACAGAACGACCTATACAAGGATTTGTGGATAGGTGGATGGATGGGTGTGTGTGTGTGAGTGCACGTGTGCATGTGGAGGCCAGCCTGGAGGACATCTTGTGTGTTGTTCTTTGGGTGCCATCTACTTTTCCCTGCCTGGAAGACAGGGTCTCTCACTGGCCTGCAGCTCAGGAGTGGGCTTGCCTTCTTGTCCACTGAGTGCCAGTGATCCTGTCTCCTCTCCCACAGGGCTGGGCTTACAAGTCCATGCTGCCATGCCCCTTCTGTCTTTAGTGAAGGTTCTGGAGACCTAACTCATCTCTGCACCTGCCCGCTAGGGCTGTCAGGACAGCCCATCTCACATCTGGAAGGCAACTTTCCTCTTCATCCGAAGGTGCTGGTGCCACACCCTAGGGACAGCAGTAAGGGCTAGAACATGAGACTGCAGAAGACAGGCCAAGACGCCAGAGGGGTGGGACATTTCACTTCCACCAGAACCAGACTTCACAGTGCACAGCTCCGTGGTTGGTGGATCTGTTCTGGTCTCTCACACCTCTCAGATCTCATCCCTCTTTACAAGCTATTCAGAATTCCAATAATATTCTTCTTGTGTCTTTATAAATAGTTTTAAGGTAATGCTCCCATTGTTTTTAAGCGTCTAGAAGGAAAAGCATAGAGCTCTGTTCACACAAAGTGCTCAGTAAGAGCACTCAGTGCTAAGCTGATGAGTTAGCACCAGGTGGTCCAGAAGTCATGAGAAGGAACATTTTTTTCCAATTTGCTCTTAGGAGCTACAATAAGAGAAGCATCACAGACGTGATGAACACCAGGGGCAGAATCCAGGAGACGACCTACTCAATGTGGAGCATCAGGCTAGAAACCTCAGGTCCTCTACAAAGCAGGCCAGGATGGCGACACGTCTGTAGGTCCAGATTCTTGTGAGGCTCACTTAAGCCCAGGAATTTGAAGCCAGCCTGGGCAACACAGTGAGGACGCCCCCCGCACCCCAAAAACAAACTGAACTAAGATCTAAAGAACAGGTAACGCTTCAGCTCCTATCTAAGCACTCACAACAGCTCTGCTGCAGGTGGCTGATGGGGTTTTTACAGACTGTGTGATCCCAGAACACAGCAAATACCCCACTGAGGAGAGGAAAGCCACGGTCCAGCACTGCACTTCCCGTGGCAACTGCACAAAGCTGTCCACACACAGGCAAGAACTCTATGCATCTGCAGGTCTCCTGTGCAAAGAGGGCATCCCAGAGACTGCTGGGTAAAGACACCAAACAATTCCGTCTTGGGCTGTGAGTGGGTCTGCAAGGTCCAAGTGAAAGGATTTTGTTTGAAACTGTAACAGTGAAATCTGAGGCAAAGAATTAGGAGCTAAAAAAAAGAAAAGAGAGAAGAAACAAATCGATGCCATAAGTTAAAGCTACAAAACAAAAGCTGACTCTCAGCCCAGCACTTGAGAGGCAGATGCAGGTAGATCTCTGTGAGTTTGAGGCCAGCCTGGTCTACAAAGCTCATTCCAGGACAGCCACAGTTGTTACTCAGAGAACCTTATCTCAAAAAACCAAGGGAAAAAAAAGTTGACTCCCAGTGAACGAAGTCACCCATGTGCTTCTTACCCAAGAGCAGAACATTCATGTTCTGTGCTTCCAGGCATTCTGTAATCTCTATTGCTTTCTTCAGGCAGCGTCTAAACATGGAAGAGAGATGAGAACAGGAGCCTTAGTTCTGGAACTTGTCCTATAGACAAGTTTAGAGGCAGTGTGAATTGTTTTCAGTTTTCTTGTATTTCTTCATGCTAAAAGGCTAGAAAAGGAAATAATAACTACTTACTGATACTCACCTACCTATAAAAAATTATGGATATATAAGAGCACACACACACACACACTAAAGGAACAGAAGGATCCTAGATACCCACACCTCCACACACACTACACCAACACTCACACTAATCAAAACACAGAAGCAACCTAAGAGTTCACTGAGAGAGTATAAATTTATGTGTACATGAGAGCTCATTGACAAACTGAGTACAAATTTATGTGTGCATGCGTGTGCATGTTGGAATATTATTCAGTAGTACAAATGATGGCCACTGTGATTGCAGCAGTATGAAAAATGCCAGCACTTGGGAGCTGAGACTAGCCTGGCTATGAAGAGACCCTATCTTTAAAAAAAAAAAAAAAAAAAAAAAGGTTGATGAATGTAAGAGAGAGCACGCAAGGTTGGATGGGAACAGTTCCCTCTCCTCAGGTGCGGCACAGGCTGAGTAGTCCCTGGCCCACATCTGTTCTATAGCTGCCTCTGCTGTGTCCTTTAGTTAATGGCAGCTGAGAGGAGCTGTGAGTTAGAAAATGCAATATAACTCTTCTGAGACTCAATTCTAAACCAAAATGATGCATTGACATTAAGAATAAGAAATAAGAAGCATAAAGTTCAGGATAACATCCAATGAGAAGTCAGTGTCCTTCCCACTGGGAGGCCAGTACTGCCATCTCTGTCAGTTTTGAACGGTTACAGTTTTTCCTGTCGTCTCAGACTGTCTTCCTTATAGACTGTACTTCTTTGTAAGCAGGGAGAGTGCTGGACAATTCTTATCAAATGTACAAAGAAATTATAAACAGAAATCATAAAATGCAGTCCAACCCAGTGGGAGGAAGGGACAGGTAGATCTTGAGTTCCAGGACAGCCAGGGCAACACAGAGAAATCCTGGGGGTGGGGACAAGGGTGCAGCCCAACCCTGAACTAAACATACGATCTCAGAATAATTAACCGTGACAGACTAGGGATCTGTCAATTCCTCCACAATTCAGAATTAGAAAACTGTACAATTCATGTACAAAATAACGGGTTAAAATACCTGATTATATCAAGCCAGCTGCTGCTTTCTAAGAGAGAAAACCACTTTATATCTGTGTCCCAGAATTCTGTACTGTTATCTGTAAACAGAAAAAGGGGGGGGGGACTTCAGGTTATTGTCCACAGCCACACCTGCCAAAGCATGATGCTACAGCATAGCCACGACACCCCAGGCTGTACAATCAGGGGTTCCAACTGCGTGAAATAAAACACAACTGTAGAATCACAGTCCTGGGTCAAACAGTAAGATCATCTACTTCAAATCTACCTTACAATGTCTATCACATTGTGGTTAGAGGTGTACAATGGTGTTTCTGTTTCCCAAGGGAAAACAGCTTTCTCTATCAGCTATCTTTATCACAGTACCAGCAGTCAGTATACGCAATGAAAAGTCAATGTCAGCTGAACAAACCCTAAAATAGTAAAGAATGTGCTAGGCTAAGGAGTCAAAGTTAGGAAAAGCTATCTCTAACATGACAAACCCAGAGGACAGGCTGGTTTAAGAATGGGAAGAATTCAACTGGGCATGGTGGTCCTTTAATCTCAGCACTTAGGAGGCAGATCTCTGAGTTTGAGGCCAGTCTGGTCTACAGAGCGAGTTCCAGGGCAGCCAGGGCTATACATATAGAAATGCTGTCTTGAAAAACCAAAACTGGAAAATAAAAATCAACAGGCTACTAAGAATGGCTAAGTCGGCAGGATTTCAGTTGTTACTAATAGGCTGGGAGGGAAGACAAATGTGGCTGGGGTGAGGTGGGGTCTGGAGTGGCTGGAATGTTTTTACATTTATTAACAAAATTGTTTTGCACTATAAGAAACTGTACATGACCAACGAGGGCTAAATCAAAGTATTCCCAGTTTGGGAGAAAAGTCAACCAGAGAAAACCAACAAATATTCTACATTATAAATGAAGGTCAATGGCTCCTGGTACTCCACAGTTCTAAACCTTAGAGAGAAGTTAAGATGTTCACCATGAAAGGTGGCATGCAGGGGAAGGAGAGGAGGGAGATGGTTATGTGACCATTGCCACAGAGGCTCCGGCAAGAGCCTGGGGACCTGGGCAGGATCAGTACCACAGAGACAGTTGGTGCCTTGGGCTTCTCCTATAGCCTGACAGTGCTTGTGAATAACCCTGGGCTGAGGGTCCCTGCCCACCGCCATTAGCCTTCCCATTGGACAGAAAGATTTCGCGATTCTTACCTATCAGAAACAGCTGCTTAAATTTACAGTATGCATTCTGGATTTCCTGCAGGGACAGGAAGTTGCTTGATAAATCTTCGGTTTTAACAATTTCATAGGGTGGCCTGTGAATGGTCTTGTAAATTCTAGGTGTCAAAAAGTAACATGAAAAAAAAAAGTAACATGAGGTTAGAAGAGCAAACATCAATTTGAATAGCATGTTAGTCCTGAGCATGTGCCACAAGCCACAAGCTGCAGTGTTAAGGGCCCTGCAGCGATCACCTCATTCAATCCTCACTTAGAGAGCCAGCAGATGCGGAAATGGAGGACATGTCTAAGTCAAAGCAATTTAATTACATAACCTACTAGTAGATATTTTAAGCTATCTACTTTGAATTTATCAAATTTATTTTTGAGGAGCTGGAGAGAAGGCTCAGTAGTTAAGAGAACTGGCTGCTCCTCTGGAACAGCTGGGTTCAGCCCACAGAGGCTCACAATTATCTATAATTCCAGTCCCAGGGAATGGGACAGACATACACACAGGCAAAACACCCATACGCATAAAAGTAGTAGATAGATAGATGATAGATAGATGATAGATAGATGATAGATAGATAGATAGATAGATAGATAGATAGATAGATAGATAGATAAACTATTTTGAGAAACTTCTACTCCATATAATAGCAGAACAGTATAGTAACACCCCATGACCTCTGTTTGACAGCTGCTAATGTTACAGCCATCATGCCCTCCCCCACCCTCTGCCCGATACTTCTGTGAATCTCTGCAGAGCAGCTGGCCTTCCTAATGATTATACTGGTTTCCTGTAAGGTGACTACAGTGAGTGCTGTTCTCAGATTCCTCCAACAGAAAGCTACCAGCAGGGAAGCAGAACGGACACGTAGTAAGAACTGTACTTATTCCCTGCTTTTCAGAGAACAGGAGCTAAGGACCCAGAACAAAGTGTGGAATGAGTACTGACCCGTCCAAGAAGTTCTTCTGGATCTGCAGAGCACCATCGTCCTGCTCTTTGGGCAGTGCTGACATTTTCAAAAGGGCACTTCCATTGTGGCAGGACCAACACCAGATCTACAGAGAGGAAAGGGAAAATGTCAGATAGACTGTTCAAAATCCAACAGGGAGCAGATGAGCTTAGCATTTACGTTCAGACAGAAATGTTTATAGCTTTAAAACAAAGTGGCTGGACACAGTCAACGACAAAGATTTAATCTTAAAAAAGAAAAACAAAACAAAAACGAAAACAGGACTAGGCAGTGAGATTCAGCATTGCTCACAGTCTCACATGGACCTTCACTTAGCTGGTGACAGCAGCCCTGTTACTGTTACTACCACTGGGGCATCAACCACCATGGCAGTGCAGCTTTAAATGCCAGTCATTTTGCAGGAATTAAACTCACTAAATTCTCATGGTCACTTCAAGCAAAGGGGGTGATGGGGAAGGGGGAACGACTGACTGTCCTGTGGCAGATGTGTCAGCTCTATCCTGTATGATATCTTACTGCTGTCTGTGCATACACCACGGAAGATGCTGGAACATATAACTGTGGCAGGTTAGGGAACATGGCTTCCTAAAACTCCTAACAAGTGTCGCTAGCTCTTCTTTTCACCTCACTTTTTTCCCCCTCAAGACAGGGTTTCTCTGAGTAGCTTTTGGAGCCTCTCCTTGGAACTTGCTCTGTAAACCAGGCTGGCCTTGAACTCACATAGATCTGCCTGCCTCTGCCTTCTGTGCTAGGATTAAAGACCACCGCCCAGAGGCTCTTTACTTTTCAGGAGACTGTTTTCTATGTCTCAGTTCCAAAGCCTGGCGAAAATATGCGATATCTTAATTTCCCATGTAGTAGGGATGGAGGAGGAGCCTATCCCCACATGTATAGATAATCCTTTCTTTTCTTCCCACAGACCACACCACAACCTCTTAAAGCTGAAGGTAGAAACCCTCATTTTCATTCGTCACAAGTAAAGTATGCTTTTCCAAGTGTACTATGCACTGTCCTGAGACCCGAGACCCTTATGGGTGGCCTGCAATACCACAACCATTTTCCACTGTGGGACACGCACTGGCAGCACAGTAGCCGTGGCTGGTGAACCTGCCAGTGGTTCAGCACCAGTCCAGGCACGCTACCCAACTACACAGTTTGCTAATTAGTTTCCACTAGTAAGAACAATCCAATTCACTCAAGAATGTCCTTGAACAGAAGGTTAAAAATGACAGATTTTAGGGCCCAAGCGATAGCTTGGTAGGTAAAATACTTGTTGCGCAAACCAGAGTTCAATCCCCAGATGACGAGCAAAGGTGGAAGGAGAAAATCAACTCCACAAAGCTGTTCCCTGCCTTCACACATGTACTGCAGCATCCATGTCCTTGGTCCCCACTAATAATAAATTTTTAAATGATCAATTTTATAACCTTGACTATGATATATCATAAAGGGTCTGTCCTATGAGATAAGAGTTCCTTTACAAAAACTGTGCATGTTTAGACTTTAGAGGACTAGCTCTTATGGTATTGGAGGGAGCTAGGCAAGCTGCCACGGAGAAAAGCAGCCACCAGCCCATCTAACTGTGATGCCTACAGACCAGAAAAGGACCAGCCAGAAGACAGTATCAATGATGCAACTTGGCACTTTTAACTTGGGGGTAACCAACAGCTACCTCATTGGACTTGTATTTTAAATACTTATCCGTATGTCCATAGGTAAATGTAACTCTCACCCCTCATCAAAAAAGCCTCTTTTTACAGCAGATGTTGACCATGACAGAGATCACAGCTGGTCAAATGTAGAAAACAAGTGAAAGAAATCTGGCGTGTCCAACTCTAAGTGATACATGCACAAAGGTGGAAAGGTTTTAAAGAACCAGAGGATCAGGACACCTGCTGGGAAACAGCTGTGCCCAGGAAACCTCAATAATATGAGTAAGACACCTGCATAACGAGAACACCAGCTGACATGCCAATGTGGGCGGGTAAAACCCACATCTAGGCCCTGCCCTAGGGAAGAGCTCTGTGCAATCAACTGAGAAAGTGAGAAAGGGGGAATGGGTTTCCAAGGATGATCCCCTGATGAGTTATCTAATTCCAAGTGGTCAGCCATCAACATATGTTACATACAAGGAACACTAAATGGACTTAGTAGGTTATGTGTGTATGTATATACATATATGCACACACACATGTAAAAACAATAAAGAAAGGCCATAACTTTAGGAGTAGGGAGGGACGTGGCAAGAGTTGAGAGGAGAGAAGGAAATGATGCAAATACAGTTCTTCTGGAAGAAACCTCAAAAAATTAGATTTCTAACAAAACTTAAAATTTGAATAAAGTGAGTTTATCAATTCACAGAAAGCAATTTACAAAATGTTGCCAATGACAAAACAAAATAAGCTTTAAAACAAAAACTGTGGAAAACTAGTACCTGACATTACTTGAACAGCTTCTCATCATCACTCTTCTTGTAAGAGAACGGTATTAATGTGTCAATTTAGATGTGTAACCATGGACCAGCATTTTCCAAATGTGTAATAGAACAAAATGCATTCTCTAATTTTTTTCAAAGTATGAGAGACTGAGGGACTTTAATGACAGGTCCTTGGGACCTTTGTCAAACTGTCATTTGCACTGTCAAATAATATTCTCAGTCCAGCTACTAACTATGCCTTCCGTTCCAAATGCACAGGCCTGAAGCTGGAGCTTCACGGTGTTCTTTAACTGATCCTCAGCATACCACAAAAGACTGAATAAAAGAATCCAGCTGGCATCTATTTCCAAAATGCTAAACAGTGCTGTTCCATTTTACTATTTTGGATGGCTATTTTCCATAAAAGGATGTTACTAATGCTAACACATGTTACTTAAAATTTTCATTAAGATTCAGTTTGAAAAAAAATTAACAGGGTCTCATTCTATAGCCTATGTTGTCCTCAAATTCACAGCAAGCCTCCTGCCTCAGCCTCCTGAATGTGGAGATTTATAGGCATGAGATATTACAGCTAGTTTCAACTAGAGTTTCTTTCTTTTGGGGAATGGGAGGGCTGGTTTCAAGACAAGGTTTCTCTGTGTAATCCTGGCTGTCCAGGAACTCATTCTGTAGACCAGGCTGGCCTTGAACTCATAGAGATCCACCTGCCTCTGCTTCCTGAGTGCTAGGATTAAAGGTGTGCATCACCACCACCCAGCCTCAACTGAAATTTCTAACACTACACAACTACATAAACAAAACTCTTTCGCAGGCTCACTCGATTTAGGAGTGTAAAGGTAAGTATATGAATTGCAGCTGTCAACTGAAGGCTGAAATCTGGTGGAATCTGATCCAGCTATCCCCCAAAGACACATTTTTTGAAACTCTCAACTTAGCTACGGCTAGCTGGAGATCAGGAAAGTCACACAGAAATCTGTACTTCTGGCTTCCTCTGAAAACGTTCAGTCACCTGGCACTATTTAGCCAACAGTGTTAGAGGCTGGGGCTGCAGAGCTGCCCTCCTAGGCCAGGCAGACAGACTCTGTCCCACCTCAAGGACCACATTCTTTACCTACCCAGCTCCATGGGCTCTGGGTATGTGACGGAGCTTCACCATGTTGGCTCACATTCAAGATTCTTCTGGCAAGCCAGCCTGTGTACTGCACAGCGCGGCCTTGTAATTTTCATTTCTTTCTAAAGTCCCATAGGTTAGGTAACTCCCAGTCAACAGCTGGAAACAGGGGTGTCATCTAGTTTTGTTTTATTTGACCAATGACATACTAAATAGCCTGTTCTGTGAAAATTAAGGTGTGTTTCATGATGTCTCTAGCAGAAAATTCAACATGCCCATATCAAGATAACAGAGCTAGCTAGCCAAAATAAATTAAATTCCACTATATGTAGTGTCAGTTTGGTTCAAACAAGTTGGGTGTCAAAGAGGATGGGTCTATTATCCTCATGAAGCTTTTCAATGTCTTCTAATATTAAAAGACCATTTGTGATGACTTGTCCTAGACTTGTCCTAGGGAGCCTCATGTTCAGGAGGTGTTTCTGGACTGCTCATAGACCATGGACAACCTCTGGAGCACCACTGCTAGGATGGCCGAGAGCTGCTGACGTCCCCTTTCCCAGGGTCCCGGATGCACTTACTGGTATGCCATGGCCCTGAAAACGCCGCACATCCTCTTCGAGTAGGGGACCAGGGACAACAAAGTAGGCGGGCAACCTAGAAGAAAGAGGTGGCATCAACTGTAACCAAGTCTTTTGCTGTCCCACCAACCAGTTCCCAAATAATGACACAGAGACTTATTATTATGAAAGCTCTGCTATAGCTTGGGCTTGTCTCAACTAGCTCTTATAACTGAAATTAACCCATTTATATTAATCTACATTCTATCATGTGGTACTACCTCTCTTCCACTTTATACCTACCTCCTGTTTCCTCTCCCTGCCTCCTGGTTTCTCCTGCATGCTTAGACTCCTCTTCCTCTTTCTCCCCAGAAATCCTGCCTATCCCTCCTACCTAGCTACTGGCCATTAGCTTTTTATTAAATCAATCACAGCAATACATCTTCACATAAGAGATGTAAAGTTTATAAGACTGAGAAACATAAAAGCTTAAGTTGTCTATCTAAAAAGATGTTTTTAGTATGGCAATATAAGTTATGATAAAAAGTGGTTTGGGTATAAAACTTTAGACTCACTAAGATAGATTAGATAATAGAGCAGTTTCTCTGCATTTGCCAAATACAGACAGACTGGATACTGTGAATGTAATTCTTACCTGGTAACTGTTCTTATTGTACATAGTTTTACTAAGTTAGAGTTAAAACCTTTCCTTTTTATTTAGACAAAAGGGGATATTTGTACACTGTATGAAGATGTATTTGCCGTGATTGGTGTAATAAAAAGCTGAATGGCCAATAGCTAGGTAGGAGATATAGGTGGGACTTCTGGGCAGAGAGAGAGGAGTAAGAGATGAATCTAGATGCATAAGAGATGCCAGGGGACACGGAAGAAGCAGGATGGGCAGTATGTGACAAAACACAGATGAGTAGAAATGGGTTAATCTAAGTTGTATGAGTTGGTTAAAAACAAGCCTATGCTAAGGCCAAGATTTCATAATTAATAAATAGTCTCAATGTCATTATTTGGGAGCTGGCTGACAGGAAAAAATTCATTACAATGAGTTTTCAGTTCAACACTTAATTCACAGAATATGAAAGCATCCATGAAGACAAGGAAGTACCAAAGAACTACAAAAGGACATATTTCCCTGTTAAGAACCAAAGATGAGGCCGGGCAGTGGTGGTGCATGCCTTTAATCCCAGCACCTAGAAGGCAGAAGCAGGCTGATCTATGTGAATTTGAGGTCAGCCTGGTCTACAAAGTGAGTTCCAAGACAGCCCCCCCAAAAAAACAAAGATGAAATGTCACCCCTCTTCAGAAACATGAGGAAAATGAGGGGTGTGGGTACAGCCCTGCAACAAAGCCCCTGCCTAGCATGCACAAGGCTGAAGGTTTGATCTTCAGCACCGAAATAAGGCAGAGATTGGAAATTGTGATATCTAAAAGTATATGAAGTCCAAAAAAAAACAATGAACAGTAACAGCATAAACACCTGTGTTGTTTATAATTAAAAAATATGAAAATCAGTAACATGAGGATTGCAGTCCATTTTATCATATACACACTCTGAGATGGATATGGTGGCACGTGACTCTAATTCCAGCACTTGGGAGGCCAGATCTCAGTGAGTTTAAGGCCAGCCTAGTCTACATAGTGAGGTCCAAGACAGAATTACATAGAAATACTCTGTCTCAAACAAATAAACAAAAAGTTCTGCCAACAACAAACATTTGAAGAGGTCTCCTCTGTGGCGGACACTGCACTAATCCATCACATGGACGATTCATTTAATTCAACACCACTAGCAGATACATAGTATGAGTATTACCATTTTATAGATAAAGAAGCTGAGAAACTGAGACACCACACTCAGTGAAGCTCTTCCTGGGTTACAAAGATCTGGAGCCATTGTGATTATTCTCCAGAAGAAAATCTTTATAACAACAAGCCTGAACTGTAGGACATAGATAAGCTAGATTTTCAGAGGGATCCAAAATACATGGGCACACTGGCTTCTAGTCAACAGACCCCTCCCTATAGAGTGGTAAACACCTCTCTCTCAAAGAGTCTGAAATATAGCCTCCCAAGACAGAAGGCGCTTGTGCAGCTAAGTTGTAATCAGACGGTATTTGCAGACACACTGCATGCCTGACCTCAATCTGAGAAGCATCAAGTCATGAGAAAGATAAATTTCAGAAAAAAGGAATTTTTTTATGTGTATGTCTATGTGCCATGTCCATGAAAGTGACCTCAAAAGCCAGAAGAAGTGGGCATTGGATTCTCTGGAGCTGGAGTTACCGACAGTTGTAAGCCACCATGTGGGTGCTGGGAGCCAAACTCCAGTCCTCTGCAAGAGCAAAAAGTAGTCTTATCCACGAGCCATCCCCCAGCCCCATGGACAGATGGATCGCTAAAGCAAAGAGATCAAAACACAAATGACTGATCCATTAATCAATCCACACAAGTTGGAGCAATATACTAAATTTCACCGGGGGTACAATCACCAAACCCCACACTGTGGGAAGCAACTAGCAAACTGCTTGATTTCTTCAAGTAAAATATGACAGTTTCAGAATCCATACAAGAGTAACTTAAGAAACCCATCAGGAAATGGCAAAATGTTACTCTGACTCTTTATTAACAGTAAGATTAAAAAGATAAAAGACAGCTAGGTCGTGATGGCACAGGTCTTTGGCCCCAGCACTCAGGAGAAAGAAGCAGAGGCAGTTGGATCTCTGGTGAGTTCCAAGTCAGTCTGGTCTCCAGAGTGAATTCCAGGACAGCCAGGGCTACACAGTGAAGCACTGTCTCAAAACAAAACAAAACAACTTCCCTCCACCCCCAAGCCAAACCAAATCATGGGGAAAATTTAAATACTAATTAGATATCAAAGAAACAGTGTGAGGCTGGGGCTGACACATTCCTTTCATGGAAGCACTTGGGAGACAACGGGAGTCTGAGGTTCGTATAGCAAGTCCCAAGGCAAGTGCTTCAAAAGGGAGGCCCTGTCTCACAAAACAAACAAAAAAGTAGTGTGAATTTGAAAAGTATGATAATGGTTTCATGCTGTGTTTATTAAAAACAACCCCAGTCCTTTGTTCTTTGCAATATATACTAAACATAAATGAAATGAGCTTTGAAATTCATTTCCAAGCAATCCCAAAGAAAGACAACTAGGTGGGGGTGTAGAGAAAACAGGATTAGCTATGAATTAGTCATTGTTACACCTGGGTAAAAGAAAGTATGACATACACACTTTTTCTATACTGCTTCAAAATCTGTATAGTCAACCTTATACAAAATTTGTATAATCAATCATTTTAAATATTCATGCATTTGTGTGTGTGTGTTTACACGTGCATGGTGTGTGTCTGGATGCTAATGGTCAGAAGAAGAGGGGGTTGGATCGCCTGGGGCTGGAGTGTTAGTAGTTGTTAGTAGACAGACACAGGCACAGGACACTAAACTGGGGTCCTCAGAAGTGCTCTTAACCCCTGAGTCATCTGAGTCATCTTACAGCCCCTATGAGACTATGATGTGAACCACTGGTCATGACTAAGGCCTCCAAGTCAGTAGAAGTTTTAAGACCTTGACTTCTAAAGTTCTGAAGTACTTTTATATTCTCTTATGTACCTGCCTGAGTGGGTGGACAGTAAGCTAATCTTTCTTTAGGGATAATCACCAAAGTAAAAACATTTTCCCAGATCAATAGCTTTTAAACTCAAGAAGTCCATGAGATGCACTGGGAAGGATTAGAAAAATACCAAAATCCAGGCTTGACCCTATGATTACAGAGCAGAAGCTTAATCCCCACTCTGGGAAAGCAGTGGGGATTAACGCTGCTATTCTGGAATGTCATGCTATCAGGGTATTAAGGCAGCATCACCTGAGCTCAGGGAGGATGCGGACTCAGCCCCGCCCCACCTGCTCAGTCAGCACCAGGGTCCCAACAAGCTCCTGGGTGACTGAGATCTCTAACTGTGGGAAGCACTGACTGGGCAGTAATTTCCCCATAGGCCACCACTCTGACATCAGCTGAGGAGTTCCCACACTCTAAGGCAGCCGTGGAACCTCCTTCTAGACTTGCGTGTCTTCCCTAATACCCTATAATGTTAGCTCTGGGGTTAATTTTAGCCTCTGTCCCAGCAGTGAGGGAGAGTAGCATAGCAGGACAGGGTGGACAGTGTTCTCACCTGCCCCACATGGCTCAGGCAGCCTGTTGAGACTCTGAGTAATTTAGTCCTCCCTCTTCAAAAACAGTCACTTCAGGCAGTGGGATGAGTTCAGAGGAAAGAGCCTTTTTAGGGCAGCTTCAGTACAGCTGTCATCTGGGAAGGGTAAGCCCAGGGCAGAGCTACAACTTGCTGTGTCAGCATTAGCTCATGGGTCCCTCTGTGAGGTGCACACCCCACAGAGTTACACACCTTGTATCTCCACAAAGAAGTGGAATGAAGTAAGGATTTTAGGAGCGAATTGAAAAAGAGAAACAATGGGTCTGTGGCCCCGGAGCCGGTTCTGACAATGCAGTTTCTCATTCTTACACAGGGAGGGGGTCATCTGAGCCACCCAGAGAAAAGTGCTATAAACCCACAGTAGTTTATGCGGCTGTCAGCAGTGTGCTAGGAAGCTATGTTCCCAAATGATAAGACTCGAGTTTCTAAAAACAGATCCACAGAGTCATACTTTAAAAATGTAGGCCAGATCACTCCCTGCCTCTGTCAAACTCCCCCTCATTGTTCTCAGATTCAAAAAGGATAAATTCTTCTGGAAGCATCCAACTGTTCCCTTCTCTTCAACCTCTACTCCCCTTTCCCTGGCTTGCTCCTCCCCAGTTCCTGCCCCCACCCCAGCTTCTCTGCTTCCCCTTCTCTCAGCTTTGACCAAGGCCACTTTACTCCTGGGACCTTCCTGACACCCTCTTCTCCACTACCTCCAGCTCTTCCGATCTTGTGCCTGATCTGTGTTTCTCCATAGTTTTGTTTCTGATGCTGGTTATTGAGCCCAGGGCCTCACACATGACAGGCAAATGCCCTATCTCATCCAGTGTATTTCTCAATAGCTCTCTACCTTGAATTATTTTTTTATATATAACTGTGTGTGGTGTGTGAGTACAAGTGCACACATGCCATGGTCCATGTGTGGTCAGGAGCAATTTTCAGGACTCAGTTTTTACTTCTCCCACAGGTTCTGAGAATCAAGCTCAGGATAATTTGGCAACTAGTTTTACCTGCTAAGCCATCTTTTTTTCAGACAGGGTCTGTCACTGCACCTGGAGCTCACCAACTGGCTAGAATGGCTGGCCAGCAAGCCTTAGGGACCATTCTGTCTTCACCTCCCCAACACTGGGATTACAGGCAGGTAAATTTCTTTACATAGATCCTAGGGATCAAACTGAGGTCCTTATCCTTGTGTGGGCAGCACTTTACCAAATAAGCCATCTACCCAACCTCACTTTTGAGTGTCTAACAGATTAGAGATTTTGTGAAAAGCTGCTGGTAAGAGTGGAGGTGTAGTTCACAAGTCTTGCCAGGCATGCACAAGACTGAGGTGGCTGTCTCCAACATCACCGACAAACAATAAAAGTAAAAGTTGGTTGAAAAAAAGAATCTCCACACAGTTGACAGGAGTGACATGGTACAATATCTGAGGTAGTAAGTGTGGTAATTCTTAAACAGCTAAACACAGGGCTAATACATGCCTGGCACTGTATTAGATTATATACTGAAAAGAAGTAAAAAACATATCCTCATAAAACTTATACATAAATGTTTATGACGAATGGATAAATATAGTATATCCATGCCATGGAATATCATCTGGCATAAAAAGGAAAAGTCAGAGGTGTTGGTACATCTCTGAACTGGATACTCAGGAGACTGAAGCAGGAAAATCTTGGGTTTGAGGCTAATATGGGCCAACTAGTGAGTTCTAGAGCCGCCTAGACGCCACAGAAAGACCATTCTGTCTTCACCTCCCCAACACTGGGATTACAGGCAGGTAAATCAAAACAAACAAAATGCCAAAAAAAAAAAAAAACCCACTACATACAGTAGTTATAAAAGACCACCTATCCTGTTTTATTTATAAGAATGTCCAGAAGAGGCAAATGTATGATTTTCTTAGGGACTGGCACAGGGAGGAGAACTGAGGAGAAATGTAAGATAACTGTTAATTTGGTGTTTCTTTGTTAGATGATGAAAATGTTCTAAAACTTACTGTGATGATAATTACAGCAATGTTAATACATTCAAACACAGTGCGGGAGGGGGGGGAATAGAGAGATGGCTCATAAGTGAGTTTCTTTTGTTTTGAGACAGAGTCTCTTTACATAGCCCTGGCTGTTGTGGAACTTGCCATGTAGACCAGGCTTGCTGCAAATTCACAGAAATCCACCTGTTCCTGCCTCCCCAGTGCTGGATTTAAAGGTGTGCACCTCTATGTGCATGGTATTCTCCCAGAGGACCAGGCGTGCACCTCTATGTGAGTGCCGTTCTCCCAAAGGACAGAGTTCAGTTCACAGCACCCGCTTACCAACAGCTCACAGACTCTCTAACTCCAGCTCTGTGGGATCTGGGATGGCTCATCTTGGTTGTCAACTTGACTACATCTGAAACTTCTGGGTACTCCTGTGAGGAATTTTCTTGATCACATTTGAAATAAGAAGGTACACTAATGTGGGCAGCACCTTCTAGTGGAAGCCTGGACAAAAAGATAAGGAAGAAGAAAACTGCCTTTTTTTTTTTTTTTTTTGCCTGCTTACCCTCACTTTTTCTGACAAGATCATTTATTTATTCTTGTGGTTTCCTTTTGCTGGTATCAGAACCAACTTCAAGAGTTCAACAAAGATGGAAGATCAGCAGGTCTCCAGGAATCCTCCAGTCCTTTAGTGCTAGACTGGAACAGCTGAGACAGCCAGCCTTGTCGACTGAGTAACTGCTGGATTCTCAACTTCTCTAGTGTGAGGCAGCCATTGTTGGACTACCCAGACCACATCCTGTAAGTCAATCTAATAAATCGTGTGTGTATGTGTGTGTGTGTGTGTGTTCACACACACGCATATCCCAATGATATCAGACTTGCTTTTTCCAGGAACCCTACTTTATGACCTGAGGCCATCTTCTGGCCTCCAAGGGCATCCGTATCCACATATGCACATGCCCACCCACATACCCACTACTAGTGGGGAGAGCCCGTGGAGAGCTTACCTCTCACAGATCCTGTAGTCTTCATTCACACTCACTGTCTTGTACTTCACACTACCCTTGGTCCGCTCCAGCTCCCAACACCAGTCTTTAGGTGTGTCAAACATTACAGTGTGATTGCTGGGATCAGTGGCTAAGAAAACAAAATCAGCACATGGTGAACTCTTTCCATGACACTGGTATTTTGTCCATGTGGACATACAAGCTCTGAACCCAATTTATTACACTGAGTCTTTTTATCTAAAAATAAATTCACAGCTTAATTGTTCCATTTTTCTCCATTTTCTGTCATTAATCCAAAAATTACAATGGAAACCTTATTGAAATTTTCATTACATTTATTTACTTTGTGTAGGAGAAGAGAGCATGGCATGCCTGTCACAGTGCACATATGTTGGTCTAACAACAAAACTCGGTTGTCAGGTCTGAAGGCAAGCGTGTTTACCTACTGATCCTCACACTGGTCCATGTTGTCTCTTTATATAGATATAGATATAGATAGTAGGAAAGGAGTTTTGTTTCTAAAGTTTGATTTTTATTATTTTATGTGTATCTGTTTCTGTATGCCAAGAGTGTATAGGAGACTATGGAGTCCAGAAAATGGTGCTGGATCTCCTGTAGCTGGAGTTTACAGGCAGTTGTGAGTCAGTCACCCAATATGGGTGCTAAGAACTGAACTTGGGTCCTCGGGAAAAGCAGCATGTATTCTTAGCTGCTAAGCCATCCCTCCAGCCCCCAAAAGTTATTCTTGTTCCATTCCTTGCAAAAGTAATTTCTAGTTCTATTTTCAGTTCATGAGATAATTTATATAAAACAAAAATCCTGTGAAGCATTGAAAAATGGGCTTGGCACAAAAGCTAAGGATTGAAATATTTTTAGCCCTCCACATGTGTATAACAGGGCACACTGATGAGAAGAGCATGTCTGATTCTGGAACATAAATCCTTCTTCTGCTTGTGATGTGCTGCCTGCAAGAAGCCTGTCCAGGACGGTACTTGGTCACTGAAAGCCATAAACAGACCAGAGAGTCACAGTGGAGGAAGTGGCCAATAGCCAAGGCCTGCATCATGGTGACAGGAACTTTGGCTACATCAGCACTGTTAGAACAAAATGTCCACAAGTCCTGCCCAAAGCTCAGCAGAAACGGCTGTGGCCTTTCTCCAGGCCATCACTGATTTCTGGAAGTGACAGGCACATCGAAAAACCCAAACTTCCTGGAAAATAACAAGTGTTGCTAAAACTAACCCACCTGCTTCTGTTAAATAAAATTACAGTAAAAGTAGTTTGAACAATGACAATAATCAATGTTTACATAAGTCAAATATTTCTAATCTAAAAATATAAAAGTAAACCTTAAATTTCTGGACTGCCAATGTTATTTCCCAAGTGGAAAATTCCACACATGACCTCATGTCATTGTCAAAACACAAGCACATTAAAAATATTGTATAATCAGACAGTAGTGGCGCATGCCTTTAATCCCAGCACTTGGGAGACAGACACAAGTGGATCTCTGAGTTTGAGGTCAGCCTGGTTTAAGAATAGGTCCCAAGACAGCCAGGGCTACACAGAGAAACTCTGTCTTGGGGGAGTAGGTGTCTAAGTGAGATAGAAAGACTGCTCTGTGGTCAAGAGCACTGGTGATTCCTCTAGACTTGCAGGTTTCGATTTCTAGCATCCACATGGCAGCTCCTAACTGCCTCTAGCTACAGTCTCAAAAGATCCAATGTCCCCTCTGGTCACAACAGGTAATAAGCACACATGTAGTGCATGCATTCATGCAAGCAATCATACACATAAAAATAAACAAATCAAAGAGATATATAAGGCAGGAACAGTGCTTACACTTATAACATCAACATTTTAGAAGGCTAAAGGATCTTGAGTTTGAGGACAGCCTTAGCTACCTATTGGAACCCTGCCTCAAATAACACCATAGACAAATAAACAGGTACCCTATCTATCTAGCCAGTCTAAAAATACTAGACTGAGGGAGAAAGCTCGGTTGATAATGTACTTGCCTTTCAAGCATGAAGACGTTGGTTTGATCCAGGCAGGTACTTATTCCTAGCACCGAGGAAGTAGACGGAAGGGTCCCAACTGTAAAGTGCTCACATTAACAAAACCCATACACAAAAACTAATAGCCACCATGGTGGGGCACGTGCCTTTAATTCCAGCATGCAGGAGGCAGAGGTAGGCAGCTCTCTGCATTCAAGGCCAGTCTGGTCTACAGAGTAAGTTCCAGGATAGCCAGGGCTACACAGAGAAACCCTGTCTCAAAACACAAAAATAAAACAAACAAAAACTAACGGCCAAATAGTGTCTGTTAGTTACAACCTTTCCTATCCCATGCCCCAGTGAAAGAGGATCAGAGAAGGGTGAATTACAACAGAATAAAGGTTCTATATACCTTGGGTACAAAACAAAACAAAAATCAAAGACAAAAAAAACAAAGGATCGAGAAACTGCCAAGGTAGGAAAGGTAAGTGCTAAGACTGGTCATGTGTTAGCAAGGCCAGACCTCAGGATCACTTGGTGTACACCTTTAATCTCAGCACTCAGGAGACAGAAATGATAGGGTGCATCTCTGGAGTCTGAGGCCAGCCTGTTCTACAGAGTGAGTTATATAGTGAAAGCCTGTCTTTAATGTGTTTTTTTTTTCCCAAAATCAGGATCTATGGAAAAAGTATAACTAATAAAACTGAAGTGTGATTTTTCAAATATGAATCCAAAAGATGCTTATATATAGTCAACACTGTCAAAGTTGTACAATAGCACCCAGGCCAGAATCAGAATTGTTGCGGGATATTTGATTGCACTCTGAAACACCAAGACCGTGTTAATAAAATTAATTGGATCAAGGAGCAGAGCAAGTGACTAGTTAGTAGGAATTAGCCATAGAGAAGATGGAGGAGCCAAGAATATGTACAGTTAGGAGTACGGAGGGACTTTATCTTTTTGTTTTGCGACAGGTGGAGAGATGTTCTCTTACTGGATCTCCAGTCAAAAAGGAAGGTCAGCTAGTTGCTTCTCAGCTTCCCTTACCTAGCAGGATTTTACCCACAACATCTGACTCCCGAATCTTTATTGGTAAATAGAATAGAGACTTAGTTAAAACCTACATTTGTGGGCTACAGCCTAGCTGGTGCTGATGGGACCAGAGTGTGAGTACCCTGATTTGAGCATTGTGAAGCTGTGGGGCCACAGGGCACAGGGGGTAGTTAAAACATCATAGACTCAGGCGTGGTTACTAAGCCAACAGAAAAACACTACAGCATAAAAGGAAAGGCAGAATTTCTAAAAATACAGATGATTTTTATAAAGTATTATGCATACAGTGTTCTGTCTGCATGCATGGGTGCAGGCCAGAAGAGGGCACCAGATCTCATTACAGACGGTTGTGAGCTGGGAATTGAACTCAGGACCTCTGGAAGAACAGCCTGTGCTCTTAACCACTCTTTCCATCTTTCCAGTCCCATGATTATTTTTCAAGTATGAAACCAACAGATGTGTATATAAACTGTAGTAATCAACCAAAAAAGCCATGTGTATGCCTACTACACTGTCACTTTATAGCTACAATATAAAAGATCTGTCTGTAACAAAGATGAACTATAGGGACAAATTTCCTGCCCAGCTCAGTAATATTAATATGAACTAATTCTCATGCATAGCCCACCATGAGTGATGGGTACCTTTTCTTTTCTTCTTTGAAACTCTGTATACAGCCCTTTCTGGTCTCCAACCTAACCTAAATCAGGCTGGCACTGAACTCACAGAGATCCAGAGATCCACCAGCTTTTGCCTCCAACTATGGTGTACCACTATGCCCAGATAATAGGCAATTTTATTCTCAATTACCTCTCATGTAAAGACTTCATCCTATGTCATGAATTTAATGCTTAATAATCTTCACAGGGGAGGCATGAACACTGCTATTTTAAAATGAGGAAATGCAAACACACAGGCACTTGAACCATAGATAGACAACACCAAGGAACATCTGGAACATCTTCTCTACAACATATTATAGCCAAGATGTCCAAAAGACAAAGCAGAGATAGGGAGATGGCTTCATGGGTAAAGTGGTTTGTATACAAGCATGAGGGCATGAGTTTGGATCCTCAAACCTACTTAAAAGCTGGGCTATTAATCTCAGCAGAGACAGAGAGATTCTGTGAATTTGAGGCCAGCCTGGTCCTCATAACAGCAATGACTACATATAGAGCCCTGTCTCAAAAAACAAAGAAAAAAGTTAGGCAGAGCAGCACACATCTGTAACTCCAGCACCAAGGGAAAGGAGGATAGCAAAGATAGGTGGATCCTTGAAGTTCACTAGCCGGTTGGTTTAGTCAATAAGCTCCAGGTTCAGTGAGAAACCCTGTTCCAAAAACTAAAGTGGAGAAGAACTATAGAAGATACCTAATATCCACACCAGGTCAGGACATGTGTGTACATACATGAACATGTACATACGGAACACCCCCACACAAAAATCCACTCAACAATAACCAACAAAAACAGAAAAGGTAAAAGCAAAAGAATCCCAGCCAGATGGCGTAATTGCTCGTACCTATAATCTCAACAGGATCACTCATCAGTCTGAGGCTACCTTGGACTACATAGTGAGTTCCAGGCCAAGCCAGGTTGAACTGTAATGGGACTGGGTCTCAAAAATGTAGACAGACAGACACAGAATAAAACATTATTAAAACCTCTAAGGGGAAAAGGCCAATTCACTTACAAAGGTCAGCAATCAAATTAACATCAGCAACCCTAAAATCTAGGAAAGCCTGGAACAATAATATACTTTGGTCCTGAAAGTAAATAATTATCAATCTAAATTGCTACAAACAGCAAAGCTATCTTTTAGTAATGACAGAGAAATAAGGATATCTCAAGATAAGAACAAACTAAAGCAGTTCATAACCACACAGCTAGCACAAAGTTAAAATTATAACAGTACATAAAAGAATATCAAAACAGTAATACATGAACAAAAAGGATAGGAAGGAATCCATCACAGCCAACACACTAAACTATCAAACCCCTAATACTTAAAGAAAAAAGACCTAAACAGTAATCCACCCAACCAGGAAAAAACAAAAAGGTGCAGACTGGCGGAATATATTTAAAAACCAGCTCCAGGAACTGAAGAGGTGGGTTAGCGATTAAGAGCAAGTACAGTTCTTCCAAAGGACCCACATTTGGTTCCATCACCCATGTTGGATTGCTCACAAACTCCAGCTCCAGAGATACCTGATACCCCTGTTCTCCTCAAGAAACACCCACAAAGAATCACATAATTAAAAATAATTAAAAAAAAATAGGTCCAATCATCTACTATTTCCAGGAGACAATTCACCGGCAGGGACTAAAAAATATAAAGTATGGAAGTCCAAAACAAGCTGGGGTAACCATTCTGTTATCTGAAAAACTATACTTGAAACCAAAATAAGAACAGAAAAGGAACATAGTTATAAAGGGAACAATTTATAAAAAGACATAAAATTAGTAAACGTACATGTGCCAAATGTTAGGGCTCTCAATTTCATAAAGCAATCACTAACGTGCACTAAGGTCTGAATGATCCTGATAACACAGGGTTACTTCAATACCCCCGGTCTCATCTTTAGGTCAGTCATCCAAACTAAAATAGAATGAAGAAGCCACAGAGTTAGACTACACCATAGATCGAATGAATCTAACAGCTATCTACGGAATATTCTGCCTGGTAAAAACAGAGCACACCTTATTTTCAGCAGCCTGTGAAGCTCCTCTAAAATTAGTCATATATACTCTGGGCTGCAAAGCAGGTCTTAGCAAATAGAAAAAAAACCGAGATTGTTTCTAGTACCTCATCAGTTCATATTGAGTAAAACTAGAAATCAACAGCAACAAAAACTATAAACACTAAGAGACTAGACAATACATGCAAGTGGACAGTGGGAAATTGAAGAAATCAGAGAAAAATAAAAAACACAGGCTGGGGAGATGGTTCCATCAGTAAAATGCCTTCCTTATAAGCAAAAGAACCTGGATATGATCCCCACAGCATATATTAGGAAAACAAAGGAGGAGGAAGTGGAAAAGAGCAAAGCATATAAAAACTAAAAATATGTGTGCACTGGTCGGCCTGGCACATTCTCTCTTATCAAGCCAGACCTGAAGTGCATTTTTTATGAACAAATGTCCTGTACCCACAAAACATTATTCTCTCTTTACTTTAAACTTTAAACGGTATCCTCAAGAATCTCAAGTGTATTTATGTAGAAAAAAGAACCCAGAGACAAATAAATTAAAATAGGGTTATTTTAATTGTCTCAATTTTATTTTTTTCAGTAGTTTCACATTTCCAGTATGACTGCTTTTACTGCTTTTCAATTCATAACAATTCAAGTCCACTTGTGTGTGTACACTCACCTATGCGTACACATGTGGGCACCAGAGGCTGACGCCAGGTATCTTCCTTTACTGTTCTCGGACTCATTTTTGAGGCAGAGTTCCTCACTGAACCTAGACCTGGCTCTTTTATGAAACTGGCCGGCCAGAAAGCTCCCACAATCTATCTGTTTCTGCCACCAGCACTGGGGTTCCACCCATGTACCCCTGAATCTGTCTTTTACATGGATGCCAGAGATTCAAACTCAAGTCCTCAGGCCTGCACAGCAAACACTTACACACCAAGCCACCTCTCTTGATTTCACTTTCCATAAGTAACCATAAAAACAATTCATTACAATATGAAAGCAAACAGACCTAAAAGGTCAGCTAAGCAAAGAACACAGGAAAAGAAAACTCGCCAGGTGGTGGTGATCCATGCCTTTAACCCCAGTACTCAGGAGTCAGAGGCAGGCAGATCTCTGAGTCTGAGGCCAGCCTGGCCTATAAGAGATAGTTCCAGGACAGGCTCCAAAAACTACAGCAAAATCCTGTCTCAAAAAAAGAAAAAAAGGGCCGGGCGGTGGTGGCGCACGCCTTTAATCCCAGCACTTGAGAGGCAGAGGCAGGCGGATCTCTGTGAGTTCGAGACCAGCCTGGTCTACAAGAGCTAGTTCCAGGACAGGCTCCAAAACCACAGAGAAACCCTGTCTCGAAAAACAAAAAAAAAGAAAAGAAAAGAAAAGAAAAGAAAAGAAAACTCCTAAATGAATCATGTGTTGGATGCTTGTACCCAAACGCATGTTGTCATTTGGGTAGTGTCCTGGCTGGTTTTAGGTCAAGTTGGCACACGCTACATTCATCTGAATGGAGGGAACCTCAATTGATAAAATGACTCCATAAGATGAGGCTGGAAGGATTTTCTTAATTAGTGATTAATGACGGCAGGACCAGCCCATTGTGGGTGGTGCCATCCCTGGGCTGGTAGTCCTAGGTTCTATAAGAGAGCAGGATGAACAAGGCATGGGAAGCAAGCAAGTAAGCAAAGCACCTCCATGGCCTTTGCATCAGTTAGAGTTCCTGTCCTGGCTTCCTTCAATGATGGACTACGATGTGGAAGTGTAAGACAAATAAACCCTTTCCTCCCCAGCTTGCTTTAGGTCATGGTGTTTCATCACAGCAATGGTAAGCTAAGACAGGGAGGATGCAGACACTGAGAAACTGAGCATTCCTGGAGGAAGCAGGTCACTGGGGTGTACCTTTGAAAGTTATGTCTGGTTTCTGTTTCCTTCTTTTTCTATTTCCTGTTTGTCACCATGAGGTGAACAACCTCCCCTTCCACAAAAACATGGACCAAGCAACCATAAAGTGAACCCTCTCAGACAGTGAACCAAAGTAAATCCTTCTTCCCTTTTCTGACAGACATTTGGTCACAGTGATACAAACTCACTAAACAGGGTTCCCCTCCTGATCACAGGGGAGAATAGAAAGAAACCTTCTGGGGGTGGAGACACTGCTAGTCCCAGCATTCAGTGAGACTTAGCTTGGGCTATAGGAAGAGACAAAACCAAAGATGAGTGGAAGAATCTTGGCTACTCAGCAACAATAGCTCAAAAGAGACTTACCTGTGCTGTGCACAGCAGCTGCATAGGAAAACAGAAACAGTCTTTTCAGCAGTTTAGGAGTCTGAGTATGATGGATTATGCCACTGACAATCTAGAGAAGAAAGGATCAATGGATATTGTTATGTTTCTGATAGGTCAACGCTAAGAAAGGTAGGGGCCAACTTTGTTCTCTATCACACTAATGTGATGTAGGAAGCTATTCTGTATTTTATTGCAGGGCAGAACAGAGCTAGGGGGGAAAAACTAACTGAATGCTGGGAGACAGAAGGCAGAGTCAGGGAGGTGCCATGGGAGACAGACACTGCATGGAACCTTGCCGGTAAGTCACAGCCATCTGGCGATATACAGAATAATAGAAATGGGTTAAATTAAGATGTAAAAGCTAGCCAATAAGAAGCTAGAGCTAATAGGCCAAGCAGTGATTTAATTAATACAGTTTCTGTGTGGTTATTTCGAGTCTGGACAGCCGGGAACAAACAAGCAACCTCCTACAACACTAATGGGCTCTGGGGACAGCATAACCCTTGCTGAACTTCAATCTATGATTTAGCTCTTAGAACAGTGCCAGAGCAACAGAATACTATTTTGTCATGCTTTCTAAGAGCTTCGAATGTCTAGGGAAAATTTAAAACACAGTCTAATTTCCCAAAAAGCAAGAGTTAAAAATCTCAACTGCCTTATAAGGTCTGGTCCAAGACTCACAAGTGAAACAGACAAAAAGCAAGACACTTAGCTGACTCACTTGTGGATGCTGTAGACAATAAAGGAAAGGGCTAGGCATGTAGCCCAGTTAGGAATATGCTTGCCTAGCATGCACAAAGTCCTAGTAGAACATGCTTATAGTCCCAGCACTAAGGAGGAAGAAGGAGAATCAAAGCTTCAAGGTCATTCCCAGCAACAGAGAGTATTTAAGGCCAGCCTGGGCTACACAAGACCTTGTCTCAAAAGGAAAAAAGAAAAGAAATCTGTCGCTGTTCTCTCTGTCTATTGTGTTAACCAAAAGTATGTTTGGATAAATAACTAAAATAATTGTTTAAAAGGAAATGCTTTGTTTCTTGGGGAATTGTCTCTAGCTATAGCATTTTTTGCCTGCTCACAATAGGTATTATATTATAATCATATTCATTATTCTAACTGAACTACCATACTATTTCAAAGAAAATTAGAGCATTACCTAAAGTGTGCATAATTCATTGCAGATAAGACAGTATAAACAAACTGGCATCTTGCTGGGCTTTCCCTAATGTGCGTACCAGGAGAGGAGCAAGTCTGAGACCATCCCTATCTCAGCAAGAAAAACCTTGGAAATTATAAGGAATTGTAGCAAACTGGTACAGCCATTTCCTGATTGCAACCAGGAAATGATGCTTAGTCTTTTTTTTTTTTTTTCTTCTCAGAACACACTTTATTGGAGCACTTACACTTGAGGTTGTAAAGAGGCAAAAGACCCCGTCCCCGTGAAGCAGAAGAATATATACGGTGCCAGACAAAACAGATGCTTAGTCTTTACAGGTGCATCTGATGAACCGACTTGGCTCATGAAACAACTGCTGTTTCGTAGAGGCAAACACACAGATTCTCAAGAGTCAGCATTCCTGTGGTAGACAGACTCTAGGGGAAGATCAGCCTTAGCTGTCTTTTCCTCTCCATCCCCAAGCAGACCCTGACCTCACTCATCACCTCCCACTCACCCCTTAGTAGTTCTAGGTAACCAGCACTATAAACTGAAGGACTCAAGGTTATACATGCCAAGTCAAACCAGTCATGCTTGTCCCAACTATCTCTCACACATTAATCCGAGAATGAGATTGCAGCTGACATCAGCTTCAGAGTGAAAGGCTTCCTTCCACCTTCAGGCAATATAAGCAAAACCTAGTCAGTGGGGGAAATCCTGACGGGAAATAAACCTAAAAACAGATGTAACTAGTTACCCTTTTGACTTCCTCTTCCTTTGTGTACCTCAGACAAAAGTGTAGCACCCGCAGATCTTTGCAGTGGATAATAAGCTTCTCTGGGTATTTCTTCAGTTGGTCAAACAGAGGCTTCTTTTTCTCATCAAACACTACGGATCAAAGACAAAATTATGAGTAGAAATGACTGTTACATGGCGACAAATTAACACTAAAGGAACAGGTAGACTGTTAGCGTCTAAGGATGGAAGTCACTCCCAAAAGTATTCTTTTCTTTTTTTCTTCAGTGCAGTTCTGGCTGTTCTGGATCTAAGTTTGTAGATCAGACTGGCCTCAAACTATGAGATCCACTTGCCTCTACCTCCAAAGTGCTGGGATTAAAGGTGTGTGCCACCACATCAGGCTTCCAGCAGGATTCTTTATTCCTCTGGAATAAGACTAAGACTCAAATGAACAGACCAGACTCCACCAGTCTAAAGAAAGCCCAGCTCTGATGGGCCTGAGAGACAGCTCAGCAGCTACGAGCACTTCCTGCTCTTCCAGAGGACCAGGGTTCAGTTCCCAGGATCCATGTTTTTTGTTCGTTTTTTTTGTTTGTTTGTTTGTTTTGTTTTGTTTTGAGACAAGACTGTCCTGGAACTCACTCTATAAATTAGGGTAGCTTCAAACTCAGAAGTCCACCTTCCTCTCTGCCTTCTGGGATTGAAGGTGTGCACCATCACACCCGGCTTAAGTTTTTCTTCTTTTCTTTGAGTTTTCATTGTGTATACTGACTGATCACGATGCTGTGCTTTCTAACGACACTGTCACATAAGCATTTAGTGTGTGTCAAGCATATGCCCATTACAGTGAGCCTTAACCGACCAACACCTACCATAGAACAGTTTTGTGTGCGTGTCAGAAAAAGCAGGCTTCAGGCTAGGTATGGTGGCTTGCACCTGAAAACTCAGCACAGAGCCGGAGGCAAGAAAATCAGAAGTCTGAGGCTAGGGCTACATTAAATCAAACAACCAAGCAAACAGAATACTGTCTTACCACATTCCCAAAAAACTAGGTGAGTCGGTAAGTAAGTAAGCCTCCCCACTAAGCCTGATGACCTGAGTGTGATCCCCAGGATGCACGGAGAGGCTCCGGCATGCTGGCTTCTGATCTCCACATGCACACCCACACAAGTACGCACACTAACACACAAACCTTAACAGAAAAAAGAATGAGATAGAGAGAAGCCCAGCTTGGTTCATCTCAAACCAAGTAACCCTGGGTGAGCTAGCCATTCCCAAAGCTGTTTTCCATAAGGTAACTTATGCAGCACAGCTGAACAGACTATATCATTATTGCTCTGTGTTCTGAGGCAGGCAATGCAACAAAGGAAGGAGACACTCACCTCCATAAATCTGATCCACACAGTGAAGGGGAACATCATTTTCTCCTACTATCTTATTCTTAAACTGAGTTTCCTAAAAAGAAAAAAAAATCAAAAGGAAATAACTATGACTCCTTTCAATGAACTCGGACATTCATAGCAAAGCAAATCATTATTCTCCACTCTACAGAGAGAATTGAAGAAAGGCATCTCCCCCAGGCCCCCAAGTAAAGGGATGCTGCAGTACATGAGAGAAAATCCCATGAGCACCAGCTGTTTCAACCCAGGGAGAACACGCCACTTCTGTGCCACTGAAAACCAAGTGTACAAGTGACAGGTTAGCACTTCTGCACACAGTGCAGGCAGACGGAGATAAAGCTATCTGGGCTTTGGGGAAGCAGCTGGAAAGTCAAGTATTTGGCAAAAGCTGTGTTTGCTCAGAACTAGGAGTCAAGCCCTGCAACAGACAGTGGTGCAGGAGGCCAGCCTGGGAAGTAGCAACAGTGCTGCTTTATACGAAACACAGGGGTCCAGGGCACTGGCACATGGGGAACAGGCAGGGTCCAGTGGGGTTCCCACTGGGGTGCAGTGCTGTCCCTCCTCTATCGCTCACCCCTAAGGAGACACAAGTCTCAAACAACACCGCAACTATATTCAGATCAAACAGAAACAACCCAAGCTCAAGGGTCGCACTCCAGACCTAAGTGCCCAAATCTGTGAAAGAGGGAACATGAGAAGCTGTACATGGGAGAGGCTGTTCCAGCGGGTGACTCATGCTGTGCTGAATTCAGAAGAAATTGGGGAAAGTTTGTGAAGTCAGCTTAGAGGGGCAAAAGCGAGCAAGCAGGAAGCACAGGTGGTGATTTCTAGGTCTTGCTGGTGGAGGGAGCCCCTGAAGGGCGAGAGCAGACCACCAGCATGGGCTGGGAGGAGAAAGCTGCAGGGACAGCACCAGAGTCACGGCTGCACCTTCCCTACCACTCTACAGACACAGCTCATACGTACACCGCCGTTATCCAAGGCTGAGTCGTCATCCCCCAGGAAGGAAATCTTGAAGTCAGTGCAGACGAGTCTCCCATAGACACCGCGCTGACAGGAATCTTCCTGCACATACTTCAGGACTGTGCTGGCTTCACAAAGCAGTTGTTCACCTGATGGAAACCAAAGCGAGCTCTCCTCAGAGGCCTCAGGGAAGGCCCAGAGCTGCGAGCACGGGACAAGCACACAGTACAGCGCAGCACTCGGCAGCAGCGCACTCCAGAGCAGGCAGAGCCACATGGCTCAGAGACCATCATGCTGGGATTTCTCCAACCACTCAGAGCTCAAGCTTCTTCTCTCTCCTTTGTTTGGAAACAGGGTCTCACCATACTACACAGACTAGCTTTGATTCATTGAGTAGCCTGGGCTGGCCTAAACTCACAATTATCCTCCTGTCCCAACCTCCCAAATGCTGGGATTAGAGCCCCTTTGCCCTGACTTTCAGCCACCTTCTGTAGTGCAGATCTTGGTGTTTTTACTACTTTGACCCAGCGGTGTCCCACAACAGGGATCCTGGAAGTGGAGCAAAGGTAGGCAGGGTGGTCAGCAGGGCCTGGATTCAGAACTCAGCCCATTTCCTGTGTAAGCCAGGGCTTCTGTGCAGCTTCCTCAGATGACAGAGGTGCGGGCTCATGTTGGAGGATGAGAGGGAAAAAGAGGTCATAAGGTGGGGAGGGGGCATAGTCTCTCTTTCTTAGTTCAAAGCATTTCCTCTCGATGCGCCACCTCCCCTGCTCCATCTGCAGGGACCCAGCCCGCATTAGAAGCTATAGTTCCTGAAGACATATTCCACAGCCAAAAATCACTAGGGCTAGAGCTAGGTGAGCATCTTCTGCTCCCTAGAAGAGAAAACTCTGCTGTGTTTGGGTGAGGACAGGAAGAGAAGGACATAAAGGAAATAAGAGTGGAGGCTGCTCGTTTGTTCCCGGCCACCCAGACCCCAAATAATCACTCAGAAACTATTTTAACTGCAATACTGTTTGGCCAATAGCTTAAGCGTATTTCTAGCTAGCTCTTACATCTTAAATTAACTCATTTCCATTATTTTATATTTTACCATAAGGCTCATGGTTTACAGTAAAGTTCCCAGGCATCTGACTCCTTCAGTGGCGCTACATGGCGTCTCTGACTCTGCCTACTCTCTCTATATATGTTTTCTAACCTGGCTATATTCTGTCAAGCCACTGGACAAAAGCAGCTTCTTTATTCACTAACCAATAAAAGCAACACATATACAGAAGGACTTCCCACACCATAAGAGAGCCAATTTAGCAATAACAACAAAGGAATTTTCTTGTCATCTAATAGATAAGCATCTTCCCCACCTCAGGGCTTCCCTCTGGCTTTCTTCACCTTTCAATTCACTTGTTGGCTAAAAATTCATTTAATCTAGCTTTAAAGAATAACAGCAGGCTGGTGGTGGTGGCGGAGGCGCACACCTTTAATTCCAGCAGAGGCAGGCAGATCCTCAAGGCCAGCCTGGTCTACAAAGTAAGTTCTAGGACAAGGGCTATACAGAAACTCAGCCTTGGAAGGGGGACAAAAAGTTAATAAAAAGTTAGGCATCCTTGTTACAGGAAAACACACATTATAAGAAAAACAAAAACTTTTTGAAACTGGATACAACATGCACATCTGTGAGCCCAGTATTCAGGAGAAGGAGGCTGAAGGGTCACAAGTCCCAGGCCAGCCTGAGCTCTTTGAAACCTAGTTTCAAAATAAACAAAACATTTACAAAAAGAAATGATTTTTATACAGCTGGCAACATTTTCCACATAAGAGGGAACTATACCACCAAGAGGTTTCTGTTCTTGAACTCAGAAGTGATTAAAACTTAACTGAGAGTTAGCCACTCTCCTGTCTCAAAAACAGTCAACCAATCCAGGCTCCTTCATAATGAATGACTTCAAAGCAGAGCCCCAGTAACCCCGCCAGCCCTAGTATCTCTGGTACCTGTGCTGAAATACACCAGCAGACAGTCAGGTGAGGCCCCCACTGCCAGTGCTGGGAGGCCCAGGCAGCTGTAAGAGCTGAGAGCAGCTATGGTTAGAGGCAGCAAGAAAGACATGCAGACTATTGGATTCTTCCAGGGTCTAGGATTTTCTTGATTGGAGACCAGAAATACTAGACAAAACCAAGCAGGACACCCTCAAAAAGGCTTCACTGGCTTGTGAAAGAAGTGAGAATTCCCCATCACTTTGGAGGAAAAGGAAACAAGGAAATTTTTTCCAAATGTTGTAACCTCTGGGTCAGGTGTGTAGTTACTGAAGACCTTGACATCTTTGTTATGATACATCATCATCATTGTTATGTGCCAGAGCATGAAAACAAAGGAGTTTATAATAGCAACACTAGGGATGACATCATCTATCTTTGGCCTTGAGCTGTAGGTGAGATATGATGTTAACATGACCATTACCTGGCAACAAGTGAAGAGTGACTTCCTTCTCTGTTACTTCCTTTTCATTTGTGTGAATTTCCTAAAAATAAATAAACAAATCAATACAAAGGCAAAAAGTCACAATTTTCTTTGCTTACAGGCTAAAATTAGCAATAAATTAACATTCCAAATACATATTAAACTATCACCTAAGCTCGAGAAGTTTGACTTAATAAGCTATTGTTATTACATTTATTTATTTATTGAGTATGTATAGAGATGCCCGCATAGGCATGTGTCACAGTGTGTGTGTGTGTGTGTGTGTGTGTGTGTGTGTGTGTGTGTGTGCGCGCGCGCGCGCGCGCACATGTAGATCGGAGAACAACCTATGGTAGGAGTAGGAGTAGGATTTCTCCTTCTACATGTAAGTCCCAGATCTTTAGGCTTGGTAGCAAGTATGTTTATCCACCAAACTATATCACTGACCTTTAACAAACCACTTTTAAACACATGTTTAGGGGCTGGAGCTGTCACCTAACATGTATAAATCCCCAGCATAAAAAAAAACAAAAGCAAACAAACAAAAAGCAGGATGTGGAGCGATGACTCCTTTAGTAAAGTACTTGCTTCCCAAGCATGGGGACCTAAACTCAGTCACCAACACTCACATAAAAGCTAGGCACAGCAACATGCACCCTCAAAGCAGAAACAAGACAGCCCTGGGGCTTACTGGCTAGCTAGTCTAACCAAACAGGTAAGCCCCAAGCTCAGTGAGAGGCTGCATCAAAAATCTCCAAAAAGAACATGGAAGGCAACTAAAGAAGACACCCAATGCTAACTTGTGACCTCCACAAGCACACACATGCACATGTACCTGCATACATTTATACGTATACAAATAGGATATAGCAGAAAATGCCCAAAAAAACAGTCACAAGTCCCAGGCCAGCCCGAGTTCTTTGAAACCTAGTTTCAAAATAAACAAAACATTTACAAAAAGAAATGATTTTTATACAGCTGGCAACATTTTCCATGTAAGAGGGAACTATACCACCAAGAGGTTTCTGTTCTTGAACTCAGAAGTGATTAAAACTTAGTTAGCCACTCTCCTGTCTCAAAAACAGGAGGGGGCAGGAGGATCAAGAAGTTCAAGGTCATTCTTGGCTATAGAGCAAATATGAGGCCAGCCTGGGCTAAATGAGATTCTGTCTTAAAAAAAAAAAAAAAATAGAGCCACGTGGTGGCAGTGCACACCTTTAATCCCAGCACTTGGGAGGCAAGGGCAGGCAAATCCCCAAGGCCAGCCTGGTCTACAGAGCTAGTTCTAGGAGAGCCAGGGCTACACAGAGAAACCTTGTAAAACAAGGACAACAACAGCAACAATAATAGTATAGAATGGTTTAGTGTAAAAGCACTTGCTACCCATCCTGTTGACCTGATCATGTGCCTGCTGTGGAATAATCCTCTTATACACTGTAAAGATTTGTCACTCGAAATGGTTTAATAAAAATGCTGCTTAGCCAGCAGCCACGCAAGCATAGGTGGGGCAAACAAACTAAGGATGATGGGAAGGAGAAGGGACTAGTGAGGAGTCACCAGCCAGACATGGAGCAGAAGAGGAACATGCCATGCTAGTAATAAAAATACCGCCACATGACAGAGCGTAAATAAGGAATAAGAGTTAACTTAGAGTGTGAGAGTATTAAGCGCGAGCTATTGGCTGAGCATTTATAAGTAAGACTAAGCCTCCAAGTCAATTATTTGGGAAGCGGCTGCCAGTTATTTGGGAACAGGCAGGCAGAGGAGAAATGTCCAATGCTACATTTGTAGCAAAAATGAACTAACCCCACCAAGTTGTACTCTAACTGTCTTATTAATGCTATCACATGAAAACAAACACACACACATAAATAAATAAAGTATTTTTTGATACAAAAACAAATATGTTTTAAAGACGAGGTGTGGTGACCCTAACTGTATGCATAGCATTTGGAAAGTTGAGGCAAGGAGCAGGAGTTTAAGGTCATCACTGACTACCGAGTGAGTTCCAGTTAACCTGGGCTACAAAAAAAACCCTGTATCAAAAAACAATAAAACATAAAGCTATATATATATACATATATAAAATAAAAGTGGAGAGAAAATTTCAGTAAGTTTTAGTGATAGTCAACATATTAAACTAAGTTTTAAGATTTATATCTACTAGTTGTCCAAGCAGAAAGGCAGAGGTAAACATCCCTTATAGGAAGAAATAAGTTAAAATGACACCTAGGCAAAGAAACATAACTCAGATACAGAGTTGGGAAAAAATAAGAGACATGTCAGAGAATGATATCCTCTCCCTCCAAAAAAAAAATCAAGGGTTGAAAGCAAGAGAGATCGAGTCTTCTTAGGGAAGAAACATCCATCTATAAAAGACAAGCAGAGGAACACAGGCCAGTATGTAGTCAGTACAGAGCCAACTACTCTATGTAGCACACTAGGTTAGGACTCAATGAAGATAGTTGTAATATCCACTCCACTGTCCACGCCAAGTTACTTTAAACTACAAGATGTTATCAAGAGTTGCAATCACTTCTAATGGAGAACCAAGTCCTGGCTCAATGTCAGTAACTAAACTCAGGTCTGTCTATTTTGTGCTCTGCATTTACTGGGTCTTCAAAGATAACTTGCAAACTTTAATGAGTGATGTTTGCAAAGTAACTTGGTGCAAATACTTGCTAACATAACAAGAGTCTAAGTCTCCTAGTGAAGTCTATAAGCCATCTAAGAAGTAGTCCTACCAAAATACCGAACCTCAAACACACCTGGAATCCAAGGCTTGAGAGGCAGAGGGATTTGTACATATGAAACAGCATGAGTTACACAACTAAGTCTAGGTCAGCCTGGGCTACAGAGTGAGACCCAGCCAAGGACAGATGAATAGAAGAGGGAAGAGAGGGAAGAAAGGAGGGAAGGAAAAATTCAGGCTGGTGGTGGAAGCCTGTGATCCTGGTCACTCATTAGGACGGAGAAACACAATAAATGACACCATGGGGATGATGTAATCAGTCAGTTTGGTAAGCAAATAAACTGGGCTTATTTAATGTTATGTAGGTAAAAGGCTCTGGGTAGAATAAGAGTCTGACTGTGATAACCCAGACAGAACCACAGCATCAGAATAAATGTGGGTGTGGCCGAGGCAGTGGGAGGACAGTCGGCTGCCTAAAGAGAGTGCTCAGTGCTGCCGCTTCCCTAGAGAACCCTTTCAAGGCAGCCTATTTCAGAGGTGAATATGATTTCCATCCAGCAGATGCCACAACCTAGGGACAAGCTTCTCAAACTTAGGGTGTGTTAGGAGTCTGGGGAGCCTGTTAGGGGAGGCTGAGTCGGATGCAAGGTTCTGGAGGTTGAGCAAGCTATTCATGTACATACATGTACAAGTGAGTATTTGGTAATTTAGCAATTTTCACTCAGAGTTTCCATTCTCCGTCACAGAGGAAGAAATCCATTAAGACACAATTACTTGTCAGGTCCCATCATCCATCTCTGAAGAGAAAGCAAAGGGAATCTCTAAATTCTATGATGAGAACTGTAGCGTTGGTCTTGACTAGTGCTTAGAATCCAGTCCAAACACAGGCCAGCTGGGCCAGGGCTACCCTGCCCTTATATCAGAGGAAGTATCCTGCCTTTTTAAGAATATACTATGGAGCCCAGGTTGGCCTTGAACTCAGGATCTCTTGCTTCAGCCTTCTGAGTACAGGGATTACTGGTGTACACTACTATGCCAGGTGTGAAATTCCTTCTTTAAATTCCAGAATCAATATCATTCAGAAAAGCATGTAGTACACTGTCTAATCCCAAACTCCCTAGATGAGGCAGGCTGAATAAATAAATAATAACAAATAAAAAATAAAGTAAATAAGTAAATAAATAAAATAACCCAGCCTCTTGGAAGGACCCACTTCCCCGTTAACTGCAATGGGAACTCACAAGAAGCCTGGTTTTTACAAACACAGGCTAATCACTTTATCTTTCCTATTAAGGTCTCTGAAGGACTCAACGATGGTGATCAAGCTGGCAGCTTCAACTGCAGACTTGAAGACTAGGCCACAAGCATGGTGAAGTAGAGGAAGCTATTCTGCAGATAGTGAGACACATAAAAAGGTTGCAGGAGATGGGGGAGATACAAATACGGCTCTCAGAAGCTGACAGTTCTTTGAGTCATACAACCTGTGTCACTACAACCGATTCCCTTGCTAGCATGCATTTACCACAGTGGAATTGTGTTTACTGTCAAAGATGCTGACTCTGGTGAATCTCCTAACAATGAGAAATCAGAGGTGCCTAGACTCATATCACCAACACATCGGTGTTACAGTGTTCTTCAGAGCCACAGGATGAGGGTGTGATGTCACAGCCACCACCTCAGGAGACTAGCAAAGAGACAAAAGTAGCACCTATAGCCTCAAATACGTAAGGCTCAGGAGGGGTGAGGATAAGTGGGCCCCAGCCAGGGAAGCCCTCACAGGCCCTGACGTTATTCTGCTGGTACTGATGCTGCTTGGACAGCTTTCCTTGGTGCCACCACATCCCATCACGACTGAATGTAGACAGGTACATCCTCTCCTACCCAACACACACCAGGCAGAAAACCACTTTAAAAACTTAAAACCCCATAGGTGTGGTGGTGTTTCATGTTTAATTTCAGTACTCAGTGGCTGAGGCAGGAGGATCATCAGTTTGATGCCAGTCTGGGCAAACAAAAAGCAAGATTATAAAAATCTTAAAACTTAACAAAGACTGAAAAAACGGGCAGTGGTGGAACATGCCTTTAATTCCAGCTCTTGGGAGGCAGAGACATCTGGAGCTGAGAGTTTGAGGCCAGCCTGGTCTACAGAGTGAGTTCCAAGACAGCCAGGGCTGTTACACAGAGAAACCCTCTCTCAAAAAACAAACAAACAGAAGAGATTAGGTGTGGTAGTACAAGCTTGCAATCCCAATGGTGAGGAGGTTAAGCCAACAGGACCCCCTCATTCGTCAGACAGATTAGCTTCAGACCAGTAAGAGACGCTATCCAAAAACACAAGTGGATGAAATGACACTGATTGACTTCTGACC